GAACCATACGACAAACAAGATGGAAAAGTAGATCGAGTCAGTAGAAACATAGTTGGGACGGACAATGGATATGGGGCTCAACCATCACAAACAGAAAACCATGAAAGCTCTAAAAATAAAAAGACGGATATACTGGATAAAACCGAAAACATGATTTCAAAGACAAAAACCACACATTAAGCCAGTTTATTTCAACAAGCTATGTAACGAAATCCACCATTCCTACATGACTTCGCCATGACAACACTTCACAACAATGACGACTACTTCACTTCTACAAACATGAGAAACAACACGATTATTACCATTACAATGAAAATCAAAAATATTAGAGATATAACTCAAATTAAAGACGCATGAGTAGTATTACGAAACGTCGACTGTACAGATTAAAATGACACTGAGAAAACAAACTTAAAGAATAAAGTAGTGACATCAAAAGGTGAAGACAGCCTTTTTAAATAAAAGCTACCAACGCTGACCACGTGGTGGATAAGGTCTATAGCCTCTCCTTGCTTCAGTTCTACTCCAATTGGAGTTTCTTATTGGACCACCACCACTCCTCCAACTCTCCCCATATCCTTCTGATCGCATTAGATCACCTCTTTCTGCTCCATTGAAACCGTCTCCTCCGCTATACCAGACACCTCCTCGTTGCTGACCTTGCCTAACACCATCACCTCTACCTCGGTAGTCTGGAACAGATGAATATTAAAAACGTTTCAAGAAATGACTAACCTTTCTGAGAAAAGCAAAACAAGGGCCTTGTTCGTTGTGGTGGATAGCACATGAGCCCCTGGAAAAGTTACTCGCGGTCTCGAAGCCCAACCCAGGTCCCGAGTTTTGTTGATATTTCATCATCCTTGTGGTTGTATTCCACATAACACCCTGCTAATTAAGAAAAACAAGCAATAAATAAAAAGCAAGGCATTGTGATTTTCACTACAACTTCAACTTGCTTAACTGATTTCGATGTCAATTTGTGCTCCCCAGATCATTCTCGTTGATGGATGATTACTGATGGCAAAGTTAAAGCAAAAACTGGATAAGAGAAAGGCAAAGCAAGGGCCTCGGTTGGTGCGGTGAATAGTGAGCACACAGAAGGAGTTACCGCCGGCATCAGGCACATCTCAAGCCCCGACTATCGCTCATATCGCAGGACTCTTGTAATTGCATCATCTGTCTTTTAAAATTAGTTTAAATCATAGTATAAGTGCTGAAAGTGACCATTTGCCTTCAAGGTAATTAGCACATTGTGTTAAAACAACTATTGTGCAACATCCCAACGGCTTACTGCCTCAACGTGGCTACGAGGGGTTCCTGGGTGTACGATGTACAGAATGCGATGTACAGCGGGGGTATTTGCCCTTCGGCAAGGCTTCCCAGGCTGAGAATGAATCCGGCGTTTCCATTAGGAAACCTAGCTAAGAGTAAATCAATACCAGGATCCACCATCGTCCTGTGGTATCAAGGTCTCATAGTGGCAAATCTCTCTCTGATCCACAAGTGCAGCCACTACCTGTGGTGGTGAAGAACTGGGCAGACTTTGGTCAGGCTGACCTCGGGATTCCAAGGAACAACAATGGTTTAACCAGAAGGTCTCCGAAAAATGAAGATTATACGGGGCCCCGCGCAACCAGTGAGGATGAGCCGTTCAATTATCAAGTATCAAGTTAACACAACTTCCGAGATGAGTACGATGTATCCCTTGACGGGGACCGAGGTGAAGATCACTGCATCCAACATATTTCATTTCCAGCGGTTCAGTTCAGTGCAGTTTTTTCTACTGTGATTTGTATCCAACTGATAGCTTCTTTAACATAAATTTTATATCTGGCATAGGTCCTGAAAAGCTGTTCTCCACAATCAATAATTCACAGAAAAATTTTTTGGAAAGGTCCTTCAGCTGGTGATCAGGCTGACAACAGGTTACTATTTCACTTCGAATCGCTATGATGAATCATGGTTATGCTGGTGTTCTTTTTCTTCTAAAGCTACGTGACCTCAGCTGTTGCTCGGAACTAAATTTGGATCAAAAGCAACTTCGTTCCTGACATGCAAGGTATGAAATCCTCTTCCACTCTATGGAATTTACCTACACCTTCCGCCTGTACGTAAAAATCTTCATGTTGCATTCGACTTCTTTAAGAATCGTCGGAGGTGATTGAATGCATATCTGGCCTTTACAATAACTCGCGGTAGCCTACCGATGCATAGAGCCAGTGCTGCCATCCTCCCAGACAAGTCTGGTACCAATGCGCTGCACTTCACGCGCCCCTTCTACGCTAATACTAGGCTAAGTTACAGGTATTCACCATACCCTTAAGAGGATTCATCAGTTAGAATACGACATCGAGAGGAAATAATCATCTAGTAGCATCTAGTAGTGTAGTCGTGAATCTCTGATCTCTTCCATGACCTTCATGTCCACCTGCGTTAATTCAGACTGGGTATGGATATATCGTCTCTTTATCTTTTCTTTTCAAATCTGACATGTTGTCCACTCGTTGAAAAAAAAGTGCAATGCTCGGTCTATTAAAATTAGATCCGGACATTTGAAGAAACTCGGCTCGGACTCGTCAGCATGAGTACTCAACAGACTGGACGAACTTTTCGCAGACTTTCGTCATTTAAGATACACTAAGAAATAGCCTTTGTATCATGTTATACATCATGAATATATACCCTTCGTAGTTGTCCATTTTGAACCTGGACATGCTATTTTGTTGGTAAAACCTGCAGAGCAAATTCTAAGGAAAGGAACTGACACGAAACATAGTAAACCAATTGAGTTGCTCCACAGAAGAACGACCTACATGACATCGGCAACTATCTGCGAAACCAAACGCTGTTTGTCGTCTAAGACAACTTCACTGGATTCATCAGTATACATGCACAACAAGAAACTTTAAACAGGTATCGAGGAAGTATAAGATGCCGATATGTATCCCTCCGATCGACTTGAATACATAACACCGAAACAAAAACGTCACCATTCTGAAACCAACTTAAATGGATGGGCTCGACAAGGCGACAACATGTCATCGAAATTATTCAGCATTCGTTTCGAAAACGTAATGCGAGTAGCATGATAGCAGTGATGCCGTTCAGTCCGAGTAACTCGCTGATTCGACCCACTCCAGTCCCAGTAAACTAACCATGCTTTCGGTGTAGTCAAGAGACTACTGGACTCGCACCAGCAGATCAGATGACTACCTCCATCACACGAAAAGACGACGGCTAGCTGCTATGAGCATATAAGGACACAACAACATAGGTATCTCAAAATGCTGGGAAAAATCGATCCGATAAAAATTCAACGACATTCATAAAGAAGACAAAAAAACGATCTTCAAGCGGCCTGTGTGGAGACGTACGCAAGAATTCGAAAAACTTCACGGTTATGGATGTAAGGAAACGAACCGAATGAAAGAAGTGCTAGGACTTTTGACTTATTTTCTAAACCAGACATCATGTGTTTGTTTGTATGGATCGAAGACAACAATGAGAGACAAGAGTGAAAGCCGTTGACCGGTACATATACTACTCAACCTGTGCTGAATAGATCCATTCCTACTGTCATATTCGCGCACAACAGAATAAATGGTTTAGAATGCTCCGTAAATATGCACCCACGTAGCAAAATCAAGATCACACAATCACTGTAACGCATAGGAGATGAACGCCGAGAGGAGCTGAGAAAAGCAGCCAGGCAATGACAAAGAAATGAATGCAAGTAAGAGGGACTCCGTAGTTTCGAATCCAACAATAAAGGACGTAGCACAAGCAATCAGACCGAGAACCAAATGAAATGGACAAATTTTGGGTACTAACATCAGCTGTTGGACAAAAGACGTTAGGAATTGAGTTTCATAGGATATTACGCGAGCAAAGTTGAAGCCTTCACCTTGGAAGTAGAAGTTCGAAGGTCTACTCTAACCGAAAAAGATGACTCTTTTTGTGTTTTTCGAGCTCACAGAGTTGGCCAACTCTAGTGTGTGAGAGAAAAAACATGCTCGTTACTGGAACCCATGTGTATCAACAGATATTAACAACAGGAGAGGACACAAAGGTTAATACGCGTAAAAAAGTTAAAAATAAAATAAAGTAAATTGGCCCGACTTTAGACAATAATTCCTTTTTTAAATAATACCTTGTTATAAAATTCTTCATAATACCTTATTTTCTTTATAATACATCCCTGGTTTTCAATGGAACATCAACAAGAGCAAAGAGCAGATGATGCAACATCACTCTCTCACCATCGATTTACCAAACACATTTTTATGTATGAAACAGTTACCGGATAGAAACAGAATTTACCTCTCATTCCGAAACGACCTCCACGTTCCCTCCGAGCCGTTATGGGCCGAGCCTATGAAGGGACTATATTCATTGAAACCTCTCACATAAACACGGTAATCGAACTTAACGCAAATTAACAACAGTTTTCCAAACACCTAAGGTCCAAAACTGTTTTTGTTTTTTCGCAAAATGCTGATAATATTTCGATAAGCAGAACAATTGACAAGTTGGGAACCCTATTGGATTATAGAAGAGCTTTTCACCAGCCTGCTTAAGCTTGTTTTAGGCGTTATTTGATTTTCAAAACTTTTTAGGAAAAAAATTTCCAGAAAGAAAATGGAAATGAAATTTAAATTTTTAAACGTTTCAAGTGAAATCGCAGCAACCACAAATGTCAGACGTTAACAACGCATATAAGAACATCATCCTCTCCTAATGGGCGAAATTCTGCATGTAACGTTGCCATCACTTTCCAAATACGAGCCCTTATGAAAAAAAAGCTGGCGAAAGAACGATGTCTGGAATCCATAAAACCAAGATTTCATGTCGGGAAGACAATAAATCTTCCAATATTAATGGCAAAAATTCTAGTGGTTTGTACTCCTATTCATAAAGTTTTTCGTGCGTTGAATGCGGCAGTTATTTTCGCACATTATGAGTGGAAATCGTAGGTCGGACCCTAAGTGCCGAAAAGGCTACATTTCAAAATGGCATAAAAAGAACAGGAAAAGAAAAGACTTAATAACTACCAAAGCCGCATCTGTCAACAGATCATCCTTCATCGGGCCACCACTTGCGTAGAATCTACGTGATGACAACTCTCGAAGTAATGAGCATAATTCCCGATCTGAAAAGAAATAGATCAAGCCTCGATAGCACCCAAACGTCAGCGCGAAAAGAAAGCTATAGAACACATAATCTAGATATAGCACGAAGTTTCAACTACAAATTAATACAACTATTGTTGGAATGGTTAAAAAATTCTACACACCTCCCGCTAACACAAACCTTGTTCACTAGCTGCCATAAGTGATTCTGGATTCAAACAACTTCTAACCAGCATCGCTTCAATACATGGACGCAGTGCTACAATCGATGCGGCCACAGATACATCCATTTTAAGTGTGATCCTGAAATGAATCACGAAGATGAAAGTCTGCAAAAAGTGTCTAGACAATGGGACCAATAATATAAGTTCGGAAAACATAATTTTTCTAATTAATAGAATACTTACATGTCGTCCATCCTAATCAAGTCTTTACCAACACATTCAATTTTGCGACAGCCAAACAAAAGCAGTTGTACTCCCGAAATTACTGATAACTGCTTGCACGAGATGACACGGGTACGAAGCTGTAAGATAATAACACTAACAAGCAATAAAAAAAGACGACAGCGTTCTTGTCAATCAATTTCAAACGGTAATCAGTTTTAATTGCATTGGGCTAAGAGGACTAAAAACACTTTTGCAAGCCATAAATATGGAAACTACCCGTCTTTAACCTCCAAATAGTACAAAAACTCAGTGACGAAAAACTAACGTGGTTTTGTACAAGTCGTTCACCATGCTAAATATTTCATTTTAAAAACTGTTTTCCATTCTTCACCTCGTAGTTCAACAGAATGTGGTATCTTTATGTTACTAAGATCCAACTTTGCCGGCTTGGTAAGAAGTGTAGAATCAGAAATCAGGTATGTGACAAACCCTTCTAAGAAGAAAAAAAACGTGTGGCAACGGGGTCCAGCAGTAATAATAGGAAAAAATCTCGATTTAAAAATGTGGAACCTACCTTCTCTGAGAACACAATCAGTGGAGAAGGTAATTCAAAATTATCGCCTTGAAATGGCGTCAAAACAGAACTTTTGCTTACTAGTGCAGAGGCTTGTTCAAGAGTATACACCTTAAATAAATGAAGATGTATTCTTTCATTGATAAGCTAACATGGGATTAATAGAAAAAAACTAATAAACTAGTAATGTGAGGAACCAAACTAATAAGCTGGAGATAAACTTGATAAAAACGACAAACTAGATGAAAGACTTGATAGAAGGAGATATTTGAAGTGATGAGATGTGTAATATGAAGCAAGTTATTACTGCTCTTGTATGATACTCAGAGTCCGAAATGAATTGATCTCTACTCATGTAGTGCAAAAACAGTCGCCTTGAACCTAAGATAAAACTATGAAGTTCTCAACTCCTTGAAACGTCTAGTTATCGATAAATTATCATCAGTTGTCGAAAAAGAGCACCAGACTCTAAGCATTACGACCAGATCTGTAATACCAGTTATTCTAAGAAACAACGAAAAATTGCTGTTCATTACGTGGGCTACAGCAGGGCATCTAGCCCAAGGAAGGTATTGGAAAGCAAAGAATTTAAAAAATAAATTTATTCCCACGTAAGAGTTTGACGATCCCTAGCAAATATAACGAAAGTGTTAGTATTACTAACCAAGTGGTTCAATACTAACGAATCAGTGATTTAGGTAGAGTCTGAAGAGCACACCATTTAAACGGCAAACCAAATAAAATTAGAATTCATATCAACTTTCTTCACTCAATGATTACTTAAGATAAAAAGACACAAGCACCTTTCTCTTTCCTCGATAGTAGCAGATATTTGGGTAGTAAGCAGCAATAAGTAACGATAATAACAGATCGTAGTCACTTTCTGATGCAGACATCCAGTCAGTAAATAATTCACCTTCGAAGCCACACTGATTAGTGAGCACGTCGATCAGTTGACGTTTGGCACCTCTGATATTCAATGTAATGGGATAGAAACAATAGTGACTGTTCAAGAAATGCTACAGAACATGACAACAACTAATTATGTGCAGTGTATACATGAACCAAGGGGAAAACACACAGTAATGAAAACAAGTTTAACAATAACTGGAAAAAGTTAAAACATGACTCACACAGTCATTTTCAGGATGGTCTGACTCAACGAAACACAATTACACAATGATACTTCTGCATGACTGCCCACCTCTGATGCTTGTTGAAAATCATGGTTGACCGCAATCTAAAACTTCGGTTACAATAGTACTCCAGTAGCTAACAACTATTCGGTTGTGACAATAAAAGTAGCCGTTTCCATAATGATTGGGCAGACTTTTGTAGCCTTAAACACGTCTACAAAATATTGTTACCATTAATGCTCTATACTCATAGTATTTAACAGTCCTCACTGTGCATCAGAATAACCTAGTTGGTTCCACGTGCTCAAGAGGACATCACTCTGTTAGTACAAAACCCTTCATTTCTACTATTGCTACCGATATTAGCAAAGAATAGTCCGCAAAGATTCACCGTAGGAAATTTTGTCACTTGTGGTCCCAACCCTTGTTGAGTTACACAAGCGGGAGTCAGCAGATTTTTCATTTGTCCCTGCGGAGCGTAAGAGTAGCAGAGTGACTACCTAATTGCTTTGGGAATTCGATAGGCATCATATCTTCCTTCTAGAGTCTTCGTAAAGAACTCTAACTATTGACTTCAATGATCCTGAGATATTTGCAAAACTCCGGACTGCAGGTGTCTGCGGTGGGGAACGAACGCAATATTTCCCAGGATCGACTTTCTATTAACCTCGGCATTGGAATATGAATGTGTCGTTTTCTTGTTCAGCAATCGCGAGGTTGTTAACCAGCGTACATTTACTTCCATAAAAAACACAATACAACATAACACTAGCTGATGTTTCGGCAGTATCGCCTTCTTCTGAGTCTGGAAGGGCATGTTGATATACAATCTACTAGGCCAAACGCTTCAATAACACTTACAAAAAGACGAAAAACCCCTTGGCAATTACATGGTCAACAACTTCTTGAGAAACCCACCGCTTTTTCGTGACTTCCAATGAGGAAGTTTAGAACAGCTGATTATAGTCGCATATGGTTGACGACTGCACCATCCAACATCAAAAAGCGATGCGAACGTACGGGATCAGGTCGCGTATGACCTCCGGGCATTCGTCCCTGCTATTCATTGTAGCGTTTTTGGCATTTATCCAAAAATCCTCAAGAAGTTTTCGCGCTGGTGTTTTGGACTCCTGTGCAAGGATATTGACTTCAACTTCAAAATCGTCTCCGCTAAAACGGTCATACAGGCGGTTACGAACTAATTGACGACGTGGAGTGGACGGTGGTATTTCAACTGTCGCTACCGATTCCTCCAGACCTGCCCTTCTTAAGCGTCGTTTTATAGCTACGCTTACTTCATCGCTTATAAAAGGCAACATAAACGGGACTTTCTTTCGGCCAAGTATTTCGCGTGAGCGTGTCGCTCTCCATCTAAACTTATCTTGTGGGGTTACTACTTCGTAGCCATTGGAGATGGCTATTTGCCGAGCCAAGTCGCGCGACTCTTCTTTAGTTCCCTGGTAGTGCACACAGAGGTGGCTGTTCGAAACATGTTTCTCACAATCGCCCTCTTTGTGTGTGAAGGGTGGGAAGAAAGGAAATGAACAAGGATGTTCTTGTTACTTGGTTTTCGGTACCACTTTGTCAGGTAACCGCGACTTGATAAGTTAATTTGAACGTTTAGAAACAGGAGCCGGTCGCCTTTCGGTTTCTTCCGGATGGACTTGATGTCCTCTGACTGCTCGTCCAATAATTCACACCATTTGTCCACCTTCTTTTGTGTAGAGAAGTCGACAAAACGATCATCTACATATCTGCAGTAGAGTAGAGGCCGAAGATCGAGAGCAGGAGTTTCTATCTTAGACATAAACACAATGGCAAGGCTTGGTGCCAATCGCTGTCCCATTGCCAACCCCCTTACTTGTGCGAAATATTTCCCAAACCATCTGAAAATCGAGCAGTTTAAGCACTCGTTTAAGAGAGCCATTAGCTGCTGGATGGACAAGCCATGCATATTTATTCTTCCTTCATGTTCGACAAGAAGTTCGAAGATGGCTTGCATTGCGAAGTCATTCGATACGTTGGTGTACAGTGCGGTAACGTCGAAAGACTTCATCACGTACACGTTATTGCGAGACGGGTTACGTAGACGTTCTAGGAACATTTGGGTGTTTGTGAGGTGAGCTGGAATGTGGTTAAGCAACTGGGTAAGTATCAGGTTTAAAAACCGGGTTATTCTGTCCGTTGGTCCGTCTACACAGCTGATGATCGGTCTAACCTTAAATGATGACGGATTGATTGACGCATGATCATCAGGTGATACCAACTTATGTATTTTAATAAGTAGTTATAGGACGGCACATGTTGGTTTATCGATTTTAAAGTGCGAAATAACCGATGATTTTAAATCTGCAGCCTTCACCACACTGACCCATTGATTGTTTAGCTTTCGGTATTGACTTTTATATTCCTTTTCAGAGGATGGACGATAGAGAGTACCATCACTAAGACGTTCCTCTGCTATCTCAACATCCAGCTAGCGAGGGATAACTACGAACTCTCCCCCCTATATCACTAACAGACAATCTTACTGTTTTCGAGTTTATTAATTCTCTATTATATATTATTGTTATGCCCCCAATCACGGTGACCCTAGATCAATGGGTCAGTGTGGCAAAGACTGCGGGTTTAAAATCATCGGTTATTTCGCACTTTAAAATCGATAGACCAACATGTCTCGTCCTATACCTACTTATTAAAACACATAAGTTAGTATCACCTGATGATTAACGCGAGCACAGTAATCAACCACCTCTAGTACACTATCCGCCCACCAGTTGTCGGCTTTTGTTCGAATGGACTCCCAGGATGCCTATCCCACATAAACATGCATGAAGATTTTTACGTACAGGCGGAAGGTGTAGCTAAATTCCATAGAGTGGAAGAGGATTTCATACCTTGCATGTCAGGAACGAAGTTGCTTTTGATCCAAATTTAGTTCCGAGCAACAGCTGAGGTCACGTAGCTTTAGAAGAAAAAGAACACCAGCATAACCATGATTCATCATAGCGATTCGAAGTGAAATAGTAACCTGTTGTCAGCCTGATCACCAGCTGAAGGACCTTTCCAAAAAATTTTTCTGTGAATTATTGATTGTGGAGAACAGCTCTTCAGGACCTATGCCAGATATAAAATTTATGTTAAAGAAGCTATCAGTTGGATACAAATCACAGTAGAAAAAACTGCACTGAACTGAACCGCTGGAAATGAAATATGTTGGATGCAGTGATCTTCACCTCGGTCCCCGTCAAGGGATACATCGTACTCAGCGCATCTCGGAAGTTGTGTTAACTTGATACTTGATAATTGAACGGCCCATCCTCACTAGTTGCGCGGGCCCCCGTATAATCTTCGCTTTTCGGAGATCTTCTGGTTAAGCCATTGTCGTTCCTTGGAATCCCGAGGTCAGCCTGACCAAAGTCTGCCCAGGTCTTCACCACCACAAGTAGTCGCAGTTCTTGTGGATCAGAGAGATTTGCCACTATGAGACCTTCATACCAGGACGGTGGTGGATTCTCGTAATTGCATTGATTTACTCTTAGCTAGGCTTCCTGATGGAAACGCTGGACTCTTTCTCAGCCTTGGGAGGCCCTGCCAGAGGGATGAAACTCTCCCGCTATACATCGCAGTTCGACACCCAGGAACACCTCCCAGTCACGATGAGGCGGTAAACCGTTGGAAGAAGCGTCATATATTACTTACTATTATGATTCATTCATCTTAGTAGGTGAACAACATACAGGTGATTTCATTTGACAAGAAGGAAAACGGTTCTGAACAAGATGAAACGTTGTGTCGAAACGTTAGCCATCAACAAAGTACATGTAGATAACGTCTTTTGAGCTCGAAAAGGAAAGTTCTTCAGGCAGTGCCTTTATATACTTCATTTCCTCAATAAAGAATTTAATAAGGGCCAACACCGCCTACAAGAAAGAGTCTTTTTAAAATCCCTTCTAAACAACCATCACCAACCAAAGCTATGTGGTCCGACCATCGATCGCCTGCGTACGCGCGCTGAGACGAATTTAGTCGCGTGTGTGACCGCTCACGAGGTACAAAAGGTGATGAAAAGGATGATGCAGCTGCTATGTCGCACATCAAAGAGCCAATACTGGAAAAGCCACATTGAATGTCACTACTGTAAATTGAAGTGACCTATTCCAAAGTCAAAAAATTGTCTTTGCCTAAGAAAAGTATCTACCCCAGAGCGACCCCCATGACTATTGTTCTTCCAATCATTGGTTCTATGGGAAGTCGAGCAAGAATTTGACCAAGGCTGGTAAGTTCTAAGTGGCGGTCAAGAGCTCCAATGCCTAAATAAAAATAGATTGTTAACAGCAACTTTGAGGTCTACTATTAAAACTTACTTTGCAGCATTGCCTCACTTTCGACTATCATGTCATAAGGTGGCGCTTCAAGAGCTTTTTCAAGAAAGTCGCCAACACTTCCTAGACGAAGCAGTTTGATAGTTAGTGCTACTTCGTGTAGCGGTGTACGTAGAATTTCAGCAGTACGATGCTGCTCGAGCCTGTGAGTTTCTCCGAATGTTGGTATACACTCATTCATATGAGCACGAAAATGATGGAGTATATACAAATAATGTGACTGTGGTTAAGAATAAAAAAGAAAGCTGTGAAAAACCGGAACACTTACGCATCAAATCGAGCCTTACTGCACAAGTGGAAGGCAAAGCCTGGTCTCACACGACCAGCACGACCACGTCTTTGTGCCAAGTTGGTGCGAGATGCCCACACAGTCGCAAAATGTACCATGTTATTGTTCGACGTGTACATCCTTTCTTTTACCCTGACGAACATGTTAAGCATGAGTTCTTTAAATGCTAACCTTTTATTTTCTGTCTATTACAATTTTTCACGGTAGGATGTGATGTGAATTACAACCACAACGATGTTGAGATATTCGGAAAACTTGGACCCCAGGCCAGATCAACCACGATTTCCCTTTCCGGTGACTCGCACATTAAACAGTGCACCACGGAGAGCCTTGCTCTGCGTTACTCTCAGCTAGTTTTCTATCTAACGCGGCCATCAGCAATCACCCGTATGCGGGGTACACCTGGGGAGCACAGATCGACAATTCTTTAAAAGTTTAGAGAAATGGCTGCATATGAAACACCTCCCAAACAATTAATCACATCTTAAACCACCTCTTGTTAAACCGCCAACCACAATATAACAGTTATAATTACAAAACCAGTAGAGAACAATAAACAATACGACATAAAATATGAAGAGTTTGACGAAGTCTAATATTTCAAATACTTCACCTTCCAATAAAACAGCATTTAGTGAAGACGCTTAGAAAAAAATCCGAAAACACCAAAACTCAGTTTATAACCATTAGTGGCAAATATAAGGGAGCGCACAACACAGTGGTAGTGATGTCCGTCACCACCAGCATGGTGCTAGTTCGATTCCGCTCCGGTCCAACCAGGCCTCTCATCCCTCCGGGGTCGGGAGATTGGTACAGGACTTGTCTGGGAAAAAATATTCTCTGCATTCCAATTTGGAACGCTCCAGCCCGATTATCTCAGGACTCCAGGGAGAATTGCTCGACCAACATTCTACATTCAAGATAAAATAAAAAAACTTCAAGCAGAAACGGAAACCACACGTAAAAAAACTGGAAGATTTCCGTGGTTAATGGATGCAAGGAAACGAATCGAATGTGAGAAGTGCTAGGATTCGCACAGTAGACGTGAAGACGGGTCATATAAAATAAAATAAAAAAAAAGTGGTAAGTAAAGTAAACACCCACTTGCACGAATCAATCACAAACACTACATCATCAATGGTGATGCTTGTTTCAGCAATATTTGTAGATAGGATAATCTAAAAAAACGTAGGACACTTAACGATCAAACCTATAAGGTCTTTGCATAAACAGAACGTAATCCATTACCTTTCTCATACGATCGCCATAATGATCGAAAACCTTACGCTGTTCTGCACCAGTAAGTTGTGAATGAAGTGGAAGAATAACATATTTCGATTGATTTGCTAAAAATAAACAAGATAACTTAAAATGAAAGTTAACACTAAAGTTTAAAGTTGAAATTTCTATGGACAAAAAAGTATTAGGACTTACAAAATTCGGAGTGGTTATTGAGAAAATTCATGACGAGCATGATCTCATTCCAACCTGGCAGGAACACCAAAACTGACCCGGCCTCACCACGAGTTGCAATGTCAGTTAGGATAGCCTGAATGTGGTGTACCGGACAGTTATGGATACAATGTAGAACTACGTTGCAGGATCCAGAATTCTCAATTCTTACTCTTCAAAAATTTTTCCCTAAGAAATATTTCCACTGACATTTATGGATTTAGTACTAACCTAGGAACTACTTTGTATTAAAAATACATATGTATATATATACACATGTATATATACATATACATATGCAATGTATATGTATATGTATATAAATATATAAGTACGCATATTGCATAAATACCCTTCTTTACGGCTTTAATAGCTTTCGTGAATGACCATCGCGCCAAAAGAGTTTAAATTTCATCCACTTAATAACAGAACACCTAAATTACTTACCTATAAAATCCCAACATAATACCACGGTATCAGAAATTGCAACATTTAATGGTTGATGACGCTCTGAAATCAGATGGAATGGCTGGCACTTTTGCAGTATAAAAAGTTCAGTCGTACCGAGTACCACCGAAATTAATCGGAAGATACTGATATCATAAGCAGGAAAATACCGTGTAAGAAAGGAAGACAAAGGAAGAACGAACAAATTTTCAACGACAATTGCCAAATGATGCCTTCTCTCTAACACGAAGTTACTTCAACGAAATTCACGATCTACTATCTGCGGTCGATAGCAAATCAATTGTACCAGCCATTCCATCATCACTTGGGTGTTCAAATTAATATTCATGGATCGATATAACAGCGGGAACTCAGAATGCGTGAAATAAACATAAAAATATGCCATCGAACTGACATAATGGTAGTAAGTTCCAAACGCTCAGATGTCTAACTGGCATTTTTTGATTGCATTTTCTTCGCTAACACCGCATGCTTGCACTAAATCAGAAAAAGGAACGCAGTTCAACGGTGCCTTAAGCTTCCAGATCCTTTTAAAAGTAGAAAAATATAGAAACTGAACACACCTCAATAACACCCAATGGTATTTCCTTCTCACTAAGATTCGCCATCGCAATCTTAAGTTCTGGACTCACATCGCCAGTTAAAATGTTTAGATTTTTGTCCTAAACACGTGATAAAATTGTTCTGCAGTGAAAATCCTAAACGCTAAAAAAGCCAACCTTTTCCTCCACTTCAAGGTCTGCATCTTCTTTTCTTTTTTTCTCCGGAGGTGGTGGCATATATTTTAGCATTCGTAGTATGTCTTCAAGAAAAAAATCTGAAACTTGTTTTAACCAATGAGCTGTTTTTCCAATTGGCAGAAAAAAATTCAAAACATTTTTGATTGTTAAAGAAGATATTGGTGTTCAACGTTCTTTAACACAATCTTATCATATAACTATGTGTGTGAATAATGATTGCCCTGCTTTTATCATCATAAATTGCAAAAATACTATTACGATCCTTTCTATAAGCTGGCAGCACTACTGTCATACTCAAGTCCTTATACAGCGCTAAATGCTCAAAGAGTAGTCCACACAATTTCTTAAAACACTCCACCAAATTAGCACCAAAATCGCGGTGAATAGTTGGCAGCTTCGAAGCAAGGAAATCATAAACCTTAAAGAACTACGAAAACCAAAGTGTTCTTCGCACCAAAATCAACAGTTCTATCGCACTTTGGCAAGCGCTGTGGGAAGCTTCTCGAGTTCGCCAGAATTTCACTGATCCATGCTTTCGACTAGCAATGTCCAATTATTGTTTTTCTTCGATGACCTAACCAAGACTAACTACAGCTACACATCGTGGTTTGATATCTTCTAATCACGATAAGGCGGGAGGCTATTAAATCTTGAGCTAAAGGAGCTTGCTTTTCAAAACCACTTTCAAAACGGTAATTTCTTAACAAAGCATTGAAGTTTAAAACTCTAAGGACCTAAAGACAATGCCTAAAAACCCTATCGCTTCAATATTTCGATCCGAAAAATTTTTCAAATGGAAACTTTAAAAAGTTGAATGAAACATAGAATTCCAAAATCACAAACGCAGTAGCCAAAAAAACCACGATGCATTGGAGAATCTCATCTGGTCATGCTGGATGAAATCTCGCTTTACGATTGCTTTCATGTTCGGAAAATAACCGTTGAACCGATAAAATAGGTCAGGAGCTCCAGAAAATCAGAACTTATCGTGAAAAAACAACGGAACTTCTATTATATAGGCAAAGATCTGTAGATCCAACACTATTGCAATTAACGTGGTGCTAATAGCCGAAATATGTTAGCCTAAAATTGGATCCAGACAACAATTTCTACCCCATGACACCTATAGAGGTCACATCGCCGCGTAACTGTTTAAAAAAAACTTTCATAGACAAACAGACATAGCTCAATATAAACAACACAGACACCAACATATCACTAAAAGATGGATGAAAAAGTGCTCCATACTTGTCTAACGCCATGCAAGTACGGAAAAAATAACCCATCATCATACTAAATACAAAATTAATTCTAAACGGAAAACGCATTCTTACGCTGCACTGGGAATGTTCTTCCTTTCATTTCGATAACTGGACAGATGCCATTAAAAAACTTTACAAACATCTTCGTGTCGATTGTTGCTGACATCAAAATCACGCGAAGATCAGTATATTCGCGAAGCATTTCACGTAGAACGATAAGGATGAAATCGGTCTGAAGTGAGTTTTTACAGCTAATACCATCACTACCACGCACTACAAACAGCTTATTGCATAACTCCCGCCAAATGCAATGTATGATTGAACATCGTGGCTCTAACGATACCTAAAAATCCAGTCAGATAGCTATGAAATGACCCGGATGGTATAGTGGTGAAGTGCGCTACTCCCCGGAAAGGACAATAGCGCGCGTTTACGATTGCTTTCATGTTCGGTTCCCCACCGCATACACCTGCGGTCCGCAGTTTTGCAAATATCTCAGCATTATATACGAGTTATATGAAATGGTAGTTAACAAGGCGCAGCATTAGGAAACCAATTAGACCATCAATTCATATTTAAGCGTGTTCTCATACTCATATTTTAACCACTCACGTTAACGTCGCGTTCATGAATTTCATCAATTATTATATGAGAAATTCCGCGTAATCCACTTTCCATTTTTCTTAACAAAACTCCGACAGTGCAAAACATAACAGCGCCATAAGGCCGAGGTGAAATACTATCGAACCTAAAAATCAGGACGTTCTTTTCGTAAGTTATCCCATCAAAATCACAATACGAAATTTCTGATCAAAGTACCATCAACTTGTTCAGGAGTTCAGACAACATAAATCAACATCCTCAAGCCTACCTGACACCATATCCAACGGATTCCCCCAATTCTTCGCCCCTTTCGGAGGCTACTCGTTCAGCTAAAGAGATCGCTGATATTCTTCTTGGTTGCGAAACGAACGCATTAAACTCGGCCCCATGTCCACTCCAAATAAATGAGTCTTGAAGGTACTGCACCACCTGTAGAAAACAATATCAAGTTCGGCTATTAAGAATACAGTTGTATGGAACAAAACCATTAAGCAATAATCAGAATAAGAAACGATTTAAAACAAGAAACAGCCTAAGCTTTGTGTTAGACTACTTTCCCATTTAGCAGTGAATTTCTCACCTGAGTGCTTTTCCCGCACCCGGTTTCTCCTTTAATCAGAGTGACAGGATTTGCTCTCACAGTATTCAATATTTCATCTCTGAACTGCAACACAGGTAGTTTTTCCCTGCACGTTGCCATGCTTGCATTCACTGCCTTTGACTCCTCTAATCCTCTTAGCTTCGCACTAATTTCGGGAAGTGACATCTGAATAATAAAGTACTCTAAAAAGGTATGTGGTAAACAAAAGCCACTAGGCGTCATTTCTGCAGAAAAACCCAGGAACACCTCCTATTCACGATGAGGAGGTAGACGGTTGGGAAGATGTACACATTTGTATTTCAATAACAGCCTTTGGAATTAGTTTGTGTTCTTGCCCTTCATTACCTCTTCTACAGGCACTTTTCAAGTATGAAACGAGAAAGAAAAAATGAGTATGCATAGTAAGAAAAGCTATGCTATTCATCAAACCCAACAAAGGATTCTTCCGTCTGAGGACTTCAAGCATTCGTAGAAAAGACTTACCTTCCTCTCACCAGACATATCTACTAGTTCATAACGTTTATGTTGCTTCAGTATTTTCGCTTTAAGTTTCAGGAGCCCAGCATTTTATTGTGATGAACAAGATGCACTTTGTGGAAAAATATCACTCCCATGATACTGAGATATTTGCAGAACTCACACCCCAGGCCAGATTCGAACCCTTGATTAGTCTTTCTGGTAGCTTACCTGTTACCCACTGCACCACTAACGCCCTTGCTGCATAAATGCCTACCACAACTTTACAGCCTAAAAAAGAAAATAAGAAGTTATTTACCGTAATTTGGACTGTAGTCTCAGCTTAACTGAGTTCAGTGCTCATTTGTGCTCCTCAGATTATTCCCGTTGAGGGATGATTGCTGACGAAACCAAATGAGCCTAGATGGTGTAGTGGGTAATAGGCTAATCCCAGGAAAGATCGAACACGGCTTAGAATCAGGAGTGGGGTAAGAGTTTTGCAAATATCATAGCATCACTGTGATTGTAAATCGTATGACACCCTGCCATGAAAAGATTATAAACACTAAATAGAAAAAATAATAAAGCCGTTAGCCGAAAATAAATATAATTATCAACCTCATGTAAGCTCATTAAAGAAAGAAGTCATACTGATTAGTCACACCGAGGTTCAAAAAAAGTGGGTTTCGAAATATTACTAAATAGAAAATTATACATTGCGATGTAACTTCAGTTGACAGAGTTCATTATGACCTCAGATAAGTGTATTTAAAGTTGAAAAGCAAACCATTGCCGTTAACGTGTGGTCGTTGTTTTGATCAATTCGCTGTTGGTAAAGAAATCAATAATTCACAAAATCGAAAATAAGAAACCATTAAACTCGAATTACGTAGATGCATGCTTAGTTTGCCACATATCATGAAACAGCAATGAGATTCAGCGACATTGCCATATGTTGTACTTTAAGAACTCAAAAAAGACCTACAAAGGCTAGGGGAGGCTCATCAATATTGCTAGCACGCCATGCGTTCCAATTCTGCATTGGAGGGGCCCATGAAATATTTCCGGGTGGCGTTGCCTGAAATCTAACAGCAATTCCACCACTATGCATAGCAACGATGAAGTGGACAAACCTCTGAGTCAGGAAACTGATCCAATTTGCAGTTTGTCAGCAGCGATTTTGGTCTTTCTTGTGTAGGATTGTCCTCTTCTGTGAAAGAAACCGGTGTCACACCCGAATTAAGCACGTGCTTTTTCACACGTTCTGCCAAAGAAGGTGGAATCAAGATAGGAATTTCCGGAAGCTTGAAATACGAGAAATTGTCGTCGAATCCACTAATACAATATCTAGTCCTTACCATTGTAACAGCCGACTTTTTCCGTTCACCCTTAAATTCGGATAACATTCTCAAATGGAACAGTTGTCTAACAATAGTCGTAGAGCAGCCCGCCTCGGCCACCTTTTTTGAAGAACCTTGACCTCGCCCAAATATTTCTACAACAACGTAGTTTTTTTGCTCAATTACTCTGTTCTAATACAGAAAATTGAGCAAATTTCTTCAACAATCGACTCGAAGAGTAACAAAAAGATGACAAAACAAGAATTACTGAATAATTAAAAACGTAAAGTGAAACCCAATCTCTAACCCGTAAAACCTACGTTTACGCAGCGACGGAAGATAGATAGATGCTTCAGCAACATACGTCCTAAAAATTCTTTAATTTTCTATGCACCAAACTGACGAAACAAATATCTAATATCGGAAGATAACAAGAACATTTGTCCTCCCGAGGGTAGAAAAACCCAGTGATCACGCAAAGTGAGCGAGTTCAACTGTTAAGTTCCACAGAAAATCGAGATTAAAGATTATTACTGAACAAATGTTTTATTAACAGGAAACAGAATAGACTCATTCCAAATCCCCCTCTCCCCTCCCCCTACCATGACCGCAAACGATAAATCGATACAGAGAACACTGGTATTATAAAAGCAAAGCTATACTTTAGTAACAGTTACATTGTAATGCTGAATATAGGGAGGACATATTACGCCAGTATCTCGTACTAGGTGAACCATATAGGTACGGTAAAGCTGTACCAAACACTTTCAGGCCAGCTAATCCAATTTTGACTTACAAGAAGTTCACCTGCAATTATTAGCCTCCTTTAGTTGCGTGTTGTACCCAATAGGTGGTAGACGCAATTTCTGCAGAAACTCATTAAGTGCCTTTTTACTGTTATCCATAGTCCAACCACCATGAATTTCAGCTTTCAGATCCACACTCTCAGACTAAAAATAAAGAAGAGAAGCATTGAACAAAACATTTTTTACAATGGTTATGACAAATTAACTACGGAAATGTCATGCATTGTGTATTCGTTGCTTAGGTAGCTATAAACTCATAGATATACGATTACTTAACAAGATCATCTAATAAAAAAAAGTAAAGAAGGCAGAAAAACAATTGATAAATGCGGAATCTAGGTATGCACATTGCTAGCATCACTTTCCATAAAGAAAGGAATACGTCCATAGCCATTACCTGAGCGATTTCTTCAGCTTTCTGCGTGACATACTGGTCATGAGCCGATGGAGGAGCTCTTTTCCATCCTGCTGAACCGTCTCCCTGAAAACAAGAGAGCTCACACGAAACCTCTATACCTAAGGAACTACTGAACACATATGACAAAAATAACCACGAATCTTTGTCATGCGCAGGATCTCGAGTTCGTAAGCCACGGTACTATGAGGTGCAGCAACACATGATAAACAGTTCGGACGACTGGACAATGGCGTAGCAAAGGCGACCATTCTTTGCGATACCAGCGGGCTTGTAGGATAGGTTCCTTGTATGTGGCGCACCGAATTGACTTAGGCCTAATGTTGAGGTGCGCTTCAAGGTATGAGGATTATATACGTACCCCCAATTTACTGGAACTGACTGGAAGTATGGAGAAGGTTGTCTGGATTGCTGTCAGCAGAAACGTTCGAACTCTTTCCGAGAAGACAACCCGATGATTATATCTAACTCTCAGAGCGGAACATGTCGAGCTGTCAATGACTCGGTCGCCAAAAAGCGATTCCCACAAGGTGTTACGCTGTCCACGTTCCTCTTGTAATTTAAAACCATCGGACAGGTTTGATGCAGTACGTGGAAGATTGAGTAATTTCTAATATCTGCTTGAACCACTCAATCATTGGCGGAGTTCCCGGTGACTGTGATGATAAAGATATAAAATGGAGCAACTTCACCCCAGAAACTAAAGAATGAAAACTTTCTCCCATAAAATTTCACCAACCGCATTCTTTTCTTCATATTTAGCTTCTTCTGACCCTCCAGCCTTGAAAAATGAACCACGACTGGAGTCATCAGCATTAAATGATCCAGAGGCAACAGCAGTTGCTTGTAAAGAAGACACCTAAAAAACAAAGACAAAATTCAGGATACATAGTTAACGCAAGGCATACCGATCATAATAGGTCTAGTAACAAGGAGCAAAACGCACTTCAAGAGCTGGAACATCCGATGATTTGAGTAGACCCTGACGTACAAGGTAATTGCAAAAATCCAAGGCTGCATTTGTTCCTGCATCCTAAAAATAAAGCGAAAATCACTCCTATGGGTAAGTCAATCTAGATTAGTGCCTAGTCTAGATCTAGAGCCAATCTAGTCGAAATAAATGTTTCCAAAACTTCACCAAAAGTCAGGACAAAGCAACGATAAAACACACTAGCAAACTTTAATATCATTTATTAGTCCTCGAAATATGGCCACTTTTGACACAATGCAACGTTAGTTATCCATTCATCACTTAAACTGACAGCTAGAATAAGAAACTCTGACCTTCTTATTGAGTGAGTTACCCAATCCCACGTAGTTATGTCCTGGTACACGTAGTTCACACTTGAATCTCTGGGTTCCACCACGAGTTACGGCGTTAATTGTATACTGCGGAGCACCAATCTTCTGCTTTCCTAGCCATCCATAAAGGAAACCCTTTATGTCTTTTAAATCCATCACCTAAAACGTCAGTAGATAACAGAACAAGCTACACAAGAAAAGGAATTTGTCAACGAGTACGTATACCACTATATACCAGGATCACTGATGATTGAAATGTTGATGTTATACGCTACTTAAGACAGGAATCAGTGAATCAGCAATACTTCAACCTCATTTTTACAACGGGAAAGATAAAGTCGTAACTGATCCATCTAAATAGTAAAGGAAATAACCCACGGCTGAACAGGAGATGGATGGGGTAACTTTAGATTAGATGTGCGAGTAACGAACAACGATCTACCACAAATCGAAACTGCTTTAAAGAAGGCATACGATTTGGAAACTCGTGGGTTGCACATAGTATTATTCCAGAATCAAATTCGAAGAACACGACAGAAATCGTGGCATCTACCGATATTTAGATGGAAGAAGATATCTGTAACTTTGAAGTTGCTGTGAAGCACCACTCAGACCCTTCGATGAGTGAACTTGGTTATCAAAACGGCTCCCAAATGTTATTCGATCGACAGAAGGTTTTCAGAATAACCAACGAAAAAAGCCTAACGTAACAGCATTTAAAATATAGTCTCAAAGTTACATTTCTTGTAGCGAATGAGCCCCAATGCGCTTCTCACAGAAATGGAAACAATTGGAGGTGTTTACCAAACAAATGTCGCTCAACAAATCCTAAAACTTTCCCCAATATTCTTCATAGTAACCGTCCTTTCCTCTTACTTCTCCCCACAGAGTTTGAAGTTTTTAACAGTTGTTCACTGTGAGATATTCCCTGTTTGATCCTACCTGTTTATTTATTGGTCGTTCTCAAAGGGTTTTATACGATTAGAAAAACGATTTAAAACTTCCTTTTCACAGACATGGATAAAATTCAAAGGCAGGCACTCGTCCTCTTAAAATATTGAATCCAACACCACGCAGAGAAAAACATGCGATAAAAATAGATATCGCTACAATGAGTCCCACATCCGAAGTTTTGATTAGTGCAGAAGGCGTTTTCCACAGAACTCCTTTGCAGTAGAGCTGAATAAGAAAAGGGATATGGATTGTGAAAAATCTAACATCTTTTGGGCGGGAACAATGCGGGAATGTCAAAATTGACGATAAAGCTGTTGACGAACATAACGAACTGACAAGTATGAAGAAGCAGAAATATGGAATAGATCGTACTAATGCGTGGTAAACGTGCTCTATGCCCAAATAGCTGGAAGGATGCGGGCCGTTCCTGCTTCATCTGCCGTCGAACTGAGCACGAAATCATCACTGCTATCTCAAGCTGCGTTAGAAGTTGAACACGTTGATGCGGTATATCTGATTTCATGAGTTGTAGAAATCATGAATTACTTCAACACTACGACAAGCATAGTGGGATATGAGCAAAACTCATAACTTCAATTGGGTTTCGAACCCGGCAAGGGTAACCAGGGAGTTCGAAGCCCGATTGGAGCACCTGGTTTCGCTCGTATCTCATGAGAATAAGTGGTGCATAAAAGCTGAACATAGTCTAGTACTGCACTGGATTAAAGGCGCTACTTCCAATCATCTACCACTCCCTTTACACATCCAAGGACCTGTAGTGCTCATGGTCTTTATCCCTTTTTTAGTGGTCTATATTTCCACAGAGAGCTATTTTTACAATTACTCAATCGATAGTTTGCTCGACACACATGTATGAAGCTTGGGCCTACGAAAATCCATTAATTGGATACCTGGGTGACCCATCCTCACTAGTTGTCCGAGCTCCAGCATAATCTCCACTTTTTCGGAGTTTTGCTGGTTTAGCCATAGTGGTTCTCCAGACTCCCGAGGTCAACTTGGCCAAAGTATGTCTGAGGTCGCCACCGCCGCAGGCAGTCGCAGTTCTTGTATATCAGAGGGAGATTTACCATCATGCGACTAGTTTGATATGTTATTGGTTTACTCTTACGTGGGCTTCTTGATGGAAACCCGAGGTTTAAATGCAGCCAACCCCTCAATGACGATATAACAAGTCAAATGGTCGTTATCCTTATCACCTCTAATCCACTTGATTATCGAGTGACTTCAGCGGGTTTCCACCTTTGTTCTTGACATGAATAAGTGCCTGTGGGCTCCGCCCGCTCAAGGGGTACAAAATGAGGGTGGGAACACTGTGGTAGTGATACCGATCATCATGAATACGGTGATAGTTCGATCTTGTGTCCAGGCTCACCAAGTCTCTTATCCATTCGGGTCGGGAAATCGGTATAGAACAAGTCTGGAAAAAGTATACTCTCTGCAGTCCAACGTGGAAAGGTCTAACCCGGCTATCTCAGGACTCTAGGGAGGCTCAACTCGACCAGTATTCAATGATGTTCATTAGTAAAGTAAAATCCTCAAGCAGTAGCCGTAGTCACACATAAAAGTTGGAAGACCTTCGTGGGTGATGGATGCGTGGAAGCAAATCGAATAGAAGTGCTGGAATCCGCACAGTAGTTGTGAAAGATGGGTCGTGTAAAAGAGGTGATACAAAAGCATTGAACTTTTCACGTGATGCCATTTACCTCCCCGTTTTTGGTGAGAGGGTACCCACAAGTAGCTCGTCCTGCTTTGTCAAGAACAGAGCATGTTCATGAGTAGCTCTTCGTTCTCGCATGAAGTGGACGTGGAGCTTGTTCGTTAATACATCTACACAAGTATTCTCAGTGCTTTACCATCTTATCGTAGCAAAAGGCATCTGTGCGTATCGAATCTTCGGAGTTTCAGTACTGCAAACATTTCCCCTGCTCTTCTCAACGGCAACGGTCTTTCGCAGTGGCTGAAAAAATCAGCACGAAGAGCAATTTTTTGTAAAATGTGAACTATAGAGTACATAGTAGTAGCGACTGTGGACCACCGACTCGAACTATCGGCTCTGATCAAGACGAACACGTGGAGACGTTAGCCGACTAAATATCTTTGTGAACCTCATGTTAGCCTACAGGGTATTGATTACTACTACCGAGGTTAAATGATTGTTGCTTTGAAAAAATAAAGTAGAGCTTTTTCGCCTGTTTCTCACCTAGTTCTATCGATTAGTTCCATCAGCAACCAGCCGTCAACGTGATTGATCTGAGGAGCTCAAATCAAGGAGAAACGAAAGACCCACATGGTGTGGTGGTGAACGTGTCAGCCTCCGGAAAGGGTAGTACCTAGCTCGATCCCCACCGCAGACACCTGCGGTTCGGATTTTTGCAAATATCTCAGCATCACTGAAATTATAGAGTACAGCATTTTTCGTCCAACGCCTCGTAGAACATCTGTGTTTTACGTCCCATACCGATTTGCAGTAATGCAGCAAAAAGTCCTGCGCTCGAAAACAAAGCGACAAAACAAGAATGAGTGGAAATCAGTTCATACTATACCACTGTATACTACACGTGGGCGTTGACATGAACCCACAGAGTAGCTAATTTGTTTAAATACTGCCTTATTGTGGAACTCTAACGTTTTTGAAGTACATCGATACGGTAGACCGATACCGGTGTGAGCACGGTCACTATTAGGTTTTTCACGCGTTTTGAATCTTCTTTTTGTTCCATCTCGCATTGTTTAAGATTGTTTAAGAATTTGCTGATAGGAAGTTTTAATGATTGTTGATAATTCAGATTTCGACATGTACACGGAAGAAGACTTGGAGAAGTTTCGTGGTCCCACATTTGGCGCGTTGGTTGAATTTGCGGCTACGAAAAAGCATTCACTGATTCGAGAGGTAAGCACTTTCAAATATGTTGGCCGAGAACTTAACAAATCTCGTGGTCGTGTATCATAGGTTTTGAAGGAGATAGTAATAAAACTCGTAGGGATTGAGCAACTTGATGTTTGATCTGTAAGTATATCAACTAATTATGCCGAGGTTTATAGAAAGTCGGGCTTTTGAGCTGTTTTTCTTGATTAATTGCACCAATCTTTCGCTGAGAAACATTTGATTTATCGCCACAGGAGCTACAGGTCAGTAAGAGAGCTGAGAGAAATGGGAAACGAAAGACTCACATGGTGTGGTAGTGAACGCATTAGCCCCAGGAAAGGGTAATAGCTTGTTTAGTGCCCACCGCAGACAGCGGTGCGGAGCTACGCAGATATTTCAGCATCATTATGGTTGTATTTCACATAATACCCTCAAAGAAGAATAGACAGTAACTAAAGAACGACAATGCTTGATTTAGTTTAATAAAAACAGCAATGCGATACAGAAATTGTATCTAGGTGGAGCTTCGTACACCGGCCGAACTATCAGCGATCGTTGTCGGGGTGTCAGTCTATGAAGTTCTGACGGAAATGCCTGAGAAAACTACTGTTGTAAGTGCTTTGTATTTCTGTGAATCGTCGTACCTAGAAGCCACGTGAAAACGAGGTTAATTTCGATTTGTCCTTCACTTTTTTCTCTCTGAAGCCGCAAAATAGTAGCAAAGAAGCAATCCCAGGTTTTAACTACAAGTATTCATGTAACATCGTTTGTCCGACTGGAGGTTTTCACCTCCTTTCACTGGACTCCGAGATATTATCTTGAGCAATGAGAGTGTTGTAGCTAGTAATCTTGAATTTTGAGACCTAATTAATATAAATTCTATATTACGTTCCTAATTAATGGTCGTTGAATTCATTGATTTCTCTGAGGACTGTGAATATTTATTGGTCTGGAGTCTAAATTTCAGTTACATCAAGCCATGGAAATAATGAAACGAAGGCAATCAAAGATGAAGAATGACAAAGTGTTATCGTGGATGAATGCGAATTTGCCTTCAAGAGTGTGAGTTTAGTATACTTGAAAAGCACTAGTCACAGTGCCATCATTTCTATCTGAATTCCTCATGTGCTAGAAATATAGTGGTAATCGCAACGATGTTGAGATATTCGCAAAACTTGGACCACGGGCGAGGTCGATCCACAATTACCCTCGCATATTGCGCGCTGCACCACGGAGGCCCTTGGTCTGTGTTTCTCTCAGCTAGTATTCTATCTAGTGCTGCCATCAGCAATCACCCGTCAGCGAATTTAATCTGGGGAGGGCAAATCACCATTACACCCAGTTAATTAATATGGTTTTGTTGTAGTTGTAATATTCCTTATTTCTAGGCTGACACCAGTGATGAACAAACGTTCCATGCGAAATATGGATATGCGAATGTTTCTGGCTCGCTATCCGTTAACTGTATTGCCGGCTTCAGTTTTCAAACCGTTCATGGCTAGTGTAAAGAAGTTCCTTCTCGTACATTTGTTCAAATTTCGAACGGACAATCTGCTTTATACGCAACCTCCGGAATTTCCTTCCGAAGATCAGCTGCGTGAGTTTCGGATCTGTACATCTTAGAAGTGTTCTATCATTTAGTCGAGATTTTCGGCCTAAACGTAGTTCTTTTGGTTTGTGACTGTTATTCTGCTCTTGTCAGAATGTGATGCGAAGTACTCAGTGAGATTTTAAAAATTCCATCTTGTACTGCAGTTACTTTCAGCTCAATTTATCACCGTCATTGGAACTATGAGACAACTAGAAAGAAATTATCCTCATCTGGCTCGTACGGTACACGAAATGATCGTTAACATCACACATTTCACCATTACCTATTGTCTGGATTGGATTTGGTACAATTTATTTCTGCATTAAAACGTTTGGAATGTTTCCAGTAAGTTCTATTTCTAGTGAGGTGCTTATTTTGAACTGTGACAGAAATGGGTTCGTGACGTATAGCTACCCCACGGTAAAACGGTCTACTGAGGAGGTAATATTTACCTGTTGTCGTTATTTCTCTCTCTTAAACGTTACGTTGGTCGTATTAGCATTTCGATTAACGTACTGCACAGACGTTTTCACTCGTTCACGTTTTTAGAAAAGAATGGATTTCATCTTGTGATATTGTGACATACAGATCACCAAGAATTTTAAATCTCACGAGTTAAGTAATCACATGGATCCTTAATGTTATAATGTCCAATGCTTCTTACCAAATTGGGAAACAAATTAAGGGATCTGCTTGTAAAAGGTCTATAATATAAGAGACAATCATTGTTTTCAAATCATGTCACTTATCAACAACGTTTTACGCTCAGAACGACTTTTATGCGTACAATGTGTAATATAACTCTTGCAAAGTTCAAGGAGTATTTCAGACTGGTAAGCGGAATAAAGAAACCGCGGAATCTTTAGAAAGTGATCCTGAGATCTCCAAGAAACAGAAAGAGGAGGCCGATGGGCCCGAACAGCAGGATGAAAATTCACGCTGTTTAGAGATGGTATGTTGTGTCTTTAATCTTAATCTTTAATCCAGTAGATATTTTATGTAAAACTAATTGGCAATGAATCTTATAACTATTCGTTAATATTTAGGATGTCGAATCTCCAAATTCTTGTATTTTAAGTGAGGGAGAACCGAAGATAACCGATGAAAAGCGTGATAACGAAGAGGTGAGCATGCTACATTGTATTGGTGATCGTCTATGTTATGTAACTGATGTCACGTTATTTTGTAAGTGATAAACTGAAAAATTAGACAATGTATGTGGTCAAATTGATGGGGTACTCTCGATTTGCGGCTGTCTAACAGGTTGCGGTGAATAAGCGAGGAAGAACTAGAAAGATTTTATCGATCTGTCTCTCCTACAGTGTCCATTCAACAGTGTTATTGGTTAAGTTCTATGAATTCAACTTTCAATTCAATTTAACCTTCCCAGGCTCTGAGGAAGGCGAAATCCGCCGAAACGTCAGCTTGTACGTAAATAAAGAATTAAAATAACACCTTGTGCTTGCTGAACAGAAGTAGGAAGAATTATTCAATGGATTCAATTCAAATTTAGTTTAGTCCAATGAATTTACACAACTTTTTCTTGGCTGTGTGATCCTGTTCGTTTGCAAGCCCTTTATTTATAGGCACTGGAAACCGATGGTCCATCAACTAGTGACATACCGACAACAACAGATCAGCAACCATCTCTTATGGATGCAGATACACAGTCTGCATCATCGCAGGCACCGGAAGGTTCACCTTGTGGTGGTGAACCTTTGACGAAAGCCTCTACCGTACAACATTCCTGGGCAGATATGCTGGATACAGCTCTCTCGGATCCTAATCTACCAGCTCACTATAAAACGATGATTCGTTGTTTGGTTGCCAGTAACAGAGACTTGAGGAACGTTCTCGCTATAATGAAATCTCAAAAGCCATAACATGTTAACGTCGTGCACCGTATTACTTGAAAAGGGCGCTGGTAATATAGGCAGTTATTGAAGTTATGGCGTAAATTCTTTTTCACAGTAATGCTTGTGGTCTCTATTCTTCGTTGTTTGTTTGTTCTTTTTTGTTCTTCCTTTGTTCTTTATTATTATTCGCTCCATAACTGTTCACAAGCGTCTGTTTTTTAAATATGGGCATAAAATCTGGAGTCTGTTACTTAACCTTGTTGAGGTCTATTTTTGCCAATAATATTTGTCTCGATAAGAATTACTGTTCATTTATAGCACGAAGAAGTACTTTCATTGAGTTCACTTTGGTATTTTTGTGTATGTTCACAACTGAAGTATTTGTTGAGTGACCGTCGTTCGTTTCTATTCAAACGTAGGATTGTTTTCAACACGCACCTCAGATGTGGGAGTATTTTTTTACTGTGTACGTGAGGGTGCGTACAGAGACTGCGTTTAGCACAGTGGTAGGAGGCACCCTGCAATACACATAGGATCGATCACCGCACCCCAGAGCGACCATGTCCACCCATCTCCCGAGAACGATAAAGTAGTACACTGGTCCGTCATCTTTTTTCTTTATGAATGTACAGATGATTTTTACGATGCATCTGGGGCGGACGGGACCGATGGGATGTTTTATATATGGGTTATCCTTCCGATCGTGCTAATCGCACAAACTTTTTTGCAGTATCTTTGTGGCAAATCGGTAGTTCCTTTACGATGACTTATTCGAAAAGTTACGATCGACTCGTTGAGGAAGGTTGTCTTATACTCATTATGATTTGCTAATAATCGTTGAAAAGTTAGCTCGTAACCATGTATTGCGGCGATTTCTCTCTCTTATGCAGGTAGTATAGCACAGAGACCATTACTAGTGAGGAAAGCACTAAGATACCGCTGTTGTAAGTGAACATCGGAATTCAACATTTGAGAAGTAATCTGCAAAAGGACCAGGCGTCCACAAGGTCCACACCGACCGAGTCCTTTGCCTTCCTCTCAGCCAGTTTCTTATTTTAACGGTGTTATCAACGCCCATCCATCGACGGTAATTTGTGCGGTGGATAGCCGGTGAACCACAGAAAGGGATAATCGAACATGTACGTGAGTGTAATTGCAAGAAAACAGTAAATATTTAAACTAGGGGAACGTTTTAGGATTTTGTCCTAATAATAATGTCTTTGTTGTTTTTCATTCATCACGTTGACTTCTCTTCGCACGTGGATTTTAAAAAAGAAGTACTGATAGTAGTACGGAAGTGGAAAGATATATTCAATCAATGCCGAGGTTAATAGAAAGTCGGACTTGGGAGAAGTACTGATGTTGTAAGAACTATCACTCGTATCACCTGTCATTTTGATAGTCGAGTAACTCGGGTGTGCGACAGTATACTTTCCATTTTTCCCTATCGCATGGAAGAGTAGCGCAGTGGATTCAGAACGCTCTGGGGACCCACTGAGCATCATATCTATCTTCCAGAGTTTTCGTGAAGAACTGGGATCATCGCATTGGTGGTCTTCTTGCAGTACATTTAACATCCCTGGGAATCCAGTCACTTACGGCTTTTGTCAATCGGTTGTCGTTCATGCTTATTACGTCTTCGTCACTTTATCTTCAACAATTTGTCATATAGAAAGGCGTCTTTGATTTTCGATCATTGACGTGGATCGTATCTGGATCCCTTCTCTCATATGCGTGACACGGGTACTCTTAGCATAGTCGTTTTGTTTGCTCGTTCTTTAAGGCTGACTGGCCTTGACCTTGCTTATGCAGCAACTTGGTTGCTGACGCATACGTTAACGCAGGAAAAATAGTGGAGTCGAAAAGGTGGGCACGGAGTCGGGCGTTCATTTTTCTCTTCACTACATCCTTGATGTTGCTGGAAGCTCTCCAAGCCGTTTGCTTCATCCCGCTCAACTTTAGAACTCAACTAAGATGATGCTGAAATATTTGCAAAACTCCGGACCGCAGGTGTCTGCGGTGAGGAACAAACGCGCTATTGTCCTGTCCGGGGAGTAACGCGTTCACCACCACACCGTGCGGGTCCTTCGTTTCGCTTGTCTCTCAGTCTCAATCTCAGTGTATTTAGAACTCAGTTGTCCATCATGTTTATTTCGTGACCTAGACAGACATAGATGGAACATTCGGAGATAATCGTACCGTTGAGCGGTAATGGGGCATACATTGTTCCTCAGAAACATCGTTTTTGTTGTATTTAGTCGAAGACCAATCTTGCACATGCGTTATCTAAGTCGGTAAGCGTTCATTACGCCTGGCTAACGTTTGCTTCGATGTTCTAAGAACGATGCCATCAGCAAAGCGAAGGTGGTATAATGGTCGACCATCGATTTTCACTCCCTTGTTATCCCATTCCAATGTTCACGTGACGTTCTCGAGAGTGGCGGTAAATAATTTTTGTGGGATGGTATCGCCTTGCCTAGCACCTCTTTTCACGTCGATGTTGATATACTGGTGATATCTTGTTTGTGAAGTTTTTATACAGCTCACGAAGAATTTTTATACATTGAGTAGAGACTCTCTGGCTGTCTAGGGCTTCCATGACTGCTTGTATCGCAATTGAGTCAAAAACCTTTAAATTGATGAAAGTGAGACAGAGTGATCTCTTGCAGTTCCTGCTACTTCACTAAGTCTTGTTGTCGTGTGGATGTGATCCATCACACTGAATGCTTTTTTAAACTATGGTTGCTCGCCTAGCTGTGTTTCATCCACTATCAATCCTGTTTAGGATGATTCGAAAGAGGATTTTGTAGACAAAGGGCAGCAAGAAGATTGGCCGATAGTTGTCAATGTCGTGGAAGTTGCCACTCAAGTATAATACAGTTTTGCTGGTCTTACATTAAATAGGAAGTTTGCATTCTGACAAGTAACATTTGAAGAGTGGGGCCAGGGTGTTTGTGAGGGCTAGCCGAGGGTTCGAGTTCTGATCCTATCCAGTCCGGACAAGTATTGTTCGATTCTTCATCGACGAAATAGAATCTCGGATTTCGGAAGGAGGAACCCGTGGAACGACACATCTATCGTCCATTATTTCGTATTAGGGCAGGAGGGTGTGGCTACTGAAGAGATCTGAATGGTAGCCGTGAACCGTTTTCCCTATCGCATTTCTGAAGCTGTAACTGTTCATTCTGAGTGCCTGAATGCAGTAATCTTTGTTTTGTAATTGGCGAAGTTTCGATGAGCTTTGAAAATGCTTTTCCAGTCCCTGCAGCTTCGACCATGACTGTTGCTGTTTTTTCCTTAGGTTTTACGCCTTTATACATTGTTCTGCAAGTCTCGACGTCAACGATCGGTTGCCTATAGCTCGGGCAACTTCCGGTTTAAGTATCGGCTCAAGTATTTCTAGATACAAACTTATCTTGGTGACTTTCAAACTCTCAGCTTTCATAGCGCTAATGTGAAGATGTTAAATGGGCCGATGCATCGATGTAGTCAATAACGGCATCTTCCCAAGAGGCAACTAATGAATTGAGTGAATTTTAGTTAATGGTGGCTTTGAAATTTCGTTTTCTGAACTTAGTGGCTTTTTCTCCCTTCTGCGACAAATGGAATCCTCCACGAAGGTGGCCATGGTCTGATTCCGCATAGAATTTTGGGACAACTGCAACACTGATTAAGCAAAGCCTTCGATTAACTATAATGTGGTCTATTTCTTTATGGTATTCACTAGTCTATCATTGAGAATGGGGCTTCTAGAATCATGAGTTATCATGAATGCTCCTCGTTGTCGTGATAAACTCAAGCAGCAGCTCACCCTGCCTGTTGGATTCTAATCCGTTGCTCCCAATGCGGCGCATTTCAACAATCTAGTTCCAATTTTAATGTTAGACTTTCCAATGATAACCGTTAGGAATGTATGGTCTTCTCTGTAGAACTTCCCTAAAACTATACAGAGCGCCTCGACTTCGTCTTCGTCATAGCTCTATGCCGCTGTGTAGACGACGATAATTGTCTTCATACTTCTTCAATCGTACACGTCCCATTCTGGTTGTCAGTTTTTCGAATGAATCGATAAGGTCTCGTATTGAGGACTCGGATGCAAGCGTGCATACAGATCGTCACTTTACTCTTCTTCTATTTAGGCAGCCTAAAATGGCCCAGAGACTTTTGCGGCGTGTCCATACTCGTTCTACTCAATGCTGTCATGCCACATCGGGAGTTCTTTCGTGGTCAGGGAAAAGAAGCGAGTTCACTTTATTGCGTTTAGCATTTGATACCCACGTATAGCTTGCTGAGCTGTGAACATAGGGAGCAGGTGAGAAAACTCACGGGTAGCTTGGCACTCTCCCAGAATAGGCCAGGAGGTTATTTGTTTGAGGAGACTCCTAACTGCCTCACTTGCACTTTCCAGTCACTTGATTCCGGAGTTTTGGAGAATGAACTCGCAGGCATGCATGAATATGTCTTAGTAAACACAGAAGGCATGTGCAAATCGGCGTAGCAGAAACGGAGTCCATCGCCTGGATTCACCTACGTCTGAGGGAAGCAAAAGTCGCTTTTGGTCCGCGATTAACCTCTTGTTCGCCACATGGGGCTGCACCATAATGCCTCGCCACTAACCAGCAAGATCCCTCTTTGAGGGAGGTGTGGTTTTTTTTGTCTTCGACGAGAGGTAAGAACTATATTATGAGCAAATCAGAGATGGTATAGTTACCTCGAATAAAGCAGCGCTCACCCTGCCTGTTGGATTCTAATCCGTTGCTCCCTATGCGGCGCATTTCAACAATCTAGTTCCAGTTTTTCAACTTCGCTCTTTGTCCACTATGACGTCTTCTCCCCCAATAGAGAGTTGAATGCAAATTCAACATACGGTTTTTTTGAGTTTATTAAAGTGATATCAAACTGTCACTTGTACTCTAGTGATAACAACTGTTTTGTGAGTCTTGCTGATGATGCGAGTGAAGGACTCGTAGATGAAAAACACTGAAGATTGGCAGTAGTAACCTTTACGGTGTTGGTTTCCGTTTTCTTTCCCACAAAACGGCCGTGATAGTCTTCCATTGACTAGGCAGATTTGCAGCTAATGTGTGATGTAGAGCAGTTGTGCTAATGAGGATTGTTTATAGGTTCTTTTCGGGTTTATTCCTAGACGAACAGTTTATTGTATAGTCCTTCGTCGGTGATGCTGCGTGTCTGACGCCATCTTTGATTTCAAGTGGAGAACGTGGCTGTTAAAAAAGTCGCAGTAGGAATCTTAAGCGACGTTCTCTTTTGTTTTCTGGAAATAGTGAACGTTCTTCTTAAACGCTGAAAACCAACTATACTAGTTTTTTAATTGTCGAGTTCCGTTTCCGCAGGCGTTTTCAATGTTCTTACCAGCTTCTGTAGCTTCAGTCATCATGGTTGTTCTTCGCTCTTCATAATCGTATCGCCATTCTGCAGAGTTTTGAATTTCTGGACATAAGTTAGCTATTGTTTACGTATCGTGCGATTCTACGTTCGTGTATCAGCTAGAGAGTTTCTGGAGCCGGACATCTCTTGTTGATCTTCAAACTCCTGGCTTTCGTAGCTTGTAGGCTATGCTGAATAGGATACGTATTTCATTGATGTTATGAATAACGGTATATTTCTCGAAAGCAGCTAAAGATCTCCACACGTTCCAATTTATGAGGTGATTCTGGAATTCCAAATCCTGGATTTTTGTAGACTTCTTTCTTTTTTGCAAAAAAAAAGTCTGGTACCAATTTCCCGATACTGGGGAATGAAGGGCTTAGTGGGTCTGGAGACCGATCCCATGTGTATTGCAGAGCGCTTCCAACCACTCCCATACACGCGTCCCTAGCGCAATGATAGTGATAGAAATGTGATCGCAATTTCTTGATTGAAGAATTAAGGAATGATCCGTACGGCTTTTAAATCCATCGACAAACCCGTTCGATCGAGTCGTCTCAAATTTTCCATTCGTGTAGGGTAAGGATTTCGTCCAAAATGCTTTCGTCACCTCATCGATGATATGATCGATCTCCGCATGAGTTGTTCCACAAGACGATTTGAATGTTGAACGACGGTTGTACTTCATTTCAAAGACACAATTTCCAAGCAAGAAATCTGCTGTTTACAGGAACACACAGAAACGATTGCACATTCATTTTGGTCTACTACCCTTAGATTTCCGACTTACTGTTCACAGTCACTGGCCTTTCTAAATCTGGCTAAGGAGTCGCCGACATCAAATCTGCAGAAGCAGACTTCATTGTGAATAACTTCCTTTTATTGGTATTAGAAGGCGTCTAACTCAGTTGTGTCTGGTGCACAGGTTGATGAGTATCAAGTGACAATTCAGATATTCTTTTTAGGCGAGGGTGAAGACAAAAAGTGACTAGATATATTGGCAGGCCACTGCGAGCAATCGGCCAGGTATGCACTCAGCGACCTTCAGCGGTCCTAATGAATCGATTGCATGGCGAACCCCACACCTATTGATCGCGATTTTTTTGCTCTATCTTAGCCTTTTTGGTTTTTTCTTCTAAATGACGATTATGTGGACCTTTCACTTTAGTATACTTCCAGTTATGTCCTATACGGTTCCGTCTTTCACCGCTTATCCACCTTATAACGTCATAGACGGGGAAGCCCAATATCGAGAGTAGCGAAGTTGTTTTGTTGCTGGTCAAGCAATTTGTTATTCTTCAGCTGCGATTAGTCAGCCGACCGTTTGATACGGATTGATGTATTAGACTGAATATTAATGCGGATATAGATTTTAAAAAATCGGTACGTTTTCAAGGACGATATAGCAAATCGAATCCGTACAGACCTACAGTGAATTTTAATGTTAGGGACTGAATTCTGTAAATAGCAATCAACGGCTTCTTCTATATCCTACTGACCGAGTGCCATTCATGAGCAGAAAAGCAGCAAATCTAATTTTGAATTCCGTCAGCTTAGAAGTTTTCCGCTAGGATCGTATACTGTATTGGCAACATGGTGCAATTGCGGCAGTTGTCTTGTTTTCGACGCCATTCGCTCTACCTTATCATTTCCGTCGTTATGTGTTTGCTCAGCATGTTATACATACCAAGCCATTGTTATTGTGGTTATTTCAGATTTCGCCATGGATGGTGAAGATTACTTGGCAAAATTTCGCGGTCCAACGTTCAATGCGTTGATCGAGTTTGCCGCCATGAAGAAGCATTCCTTGATTCGAGAGGTGCGTAATTGAGAATGGAAATGAATGTGGCACAAGTAGAACCACATGAATTCCTGTTCTTTTTTCCTACTCGTTTATGAGGCTAGCAATTTTGTAGCTTTTTTCATATCTCCAACTCTGGAATCATGTGGTGAGGATCAATCCTCTACTAAGTGATATTCTAGTCGTATTAGCCGCTTTAAAGTAAGACTTACCAGTAATCTTTACCAGTCATTGGACAAGCAGATGCAAATCCTTGGCTACTTTGTGGAGGTCGTATATTTTATTCGCGGCGAACTTAATGGTTGTAGCTTTCAACGATTCCATTTCAACATTTTACTGGGAAAACTGATCGTTTAGTTTAAGCAACAAACTTAATCAAGGCTCTATCTAGGTGGAAGTTCGTTCGCCGACGGAATTATCTGCCATCGTCGTTGGTGTGTCCGTATATGAAGTTCTGAGAGAAATGCCTGAGTGTAATATTGTGAGTGAAAGGAAAAACTAAACCAAGTAGTCTTTATATAGTTACTTTTTCTGGAAGTTGTGGATGAACATTGCCCAAGAATCCAATTTTTAGTTGGTTCACGCTATGGAGAGAGTAAAGCGAAAGCAATCAAGATTGGAGAAGAATAAGATATTTCTGTGGATGGATGAGAATTTGCCATCGAAAGGGTGCGTTCGTGCTACTGGGAAAATATTGATCTTCTCCAAAGTCGTTCGTCTCTTTTACTAGTTGGACACAGAATTGAAGTGAAAGTTAGGAAGTAATTGATTAGAATTAGGGATTTACAGGTTAGGTTAAAAAGTAATTAAGTAACTAAGGAAGTAAAAATTGTTCCGAATTCCTCAGAATATTCAGTGCTCATAATTCAAAAGGTCACCGTTTTTAGGGTGCCACCACTTATGAATCAACATTACATGCGAAAGGCGGACATGCGACTCTTTCTGGCGAGATGTCCGATGAGCGTCTTGCCAAATTCAGTGTTTAAGCCGTTCATACCTATTGTGAAGAACTTTCTTCTTGCACATCTTTACAAATTTCGAAGGAACAGGATGCTTTACAGAGGCCCTCCTGACTTCCCTCCTGAAGACCAATTGCGTGAGTTTAAAACCTGTGCAGCTTATATTACTACCTTGTTGAAATACTAAAAAACATCGGTCAGAAAGTGTTACCTCACTGGTTCACCTTTCTTTTACCTGGGTGCTTCATCAATTCGTTAACTTTTCATCTCTGATTGTGCTTTGTGAAATTGAGTTTTGTATGAAAAGTTACCTTACAGCTCGTGTAATCAATGCCTTTGGAACCGTGGAATATCTAGAAAATAACTACCCTCATCTCGCTCGTGTGAAGCAAGAAATGATTGTCAACATCACGCATTTCATCATAACCTATTGCTTGGACTGGATCTGGTAGATTTCTTTCGGTTAGAAGATTTGAAACATGTCTTCTCTAACGGATTCCTTTTTCTAGTGAGGTACTAACTCTGAGGTCTGATGTCTATGGATTTGTGACGTATAGCTATCCAGCGTTTGAAATGTTGGACGATGGGGTAACGTTGATTTGTAGTCATTGTTCTTATCTGTTGAAGGCTTTCTAATGCTTAGAATGGTTTGTGCTTATTTAGTACGCAAGTATTTCACATTCAATTATAATGCGAGTAGTAGTATTGGATTTCGCTTTATTGATTTGGTGATAGTCGTGGTGCTTAGGTCAGTACGTCCGGCTGAGTCGAACTCTGTGCCGACTTTTCTATCATTCCAGTTTATTTCTTTTGTCCGCTATTTTTCGTCATTTGTACTTTTCCGTAAACCTTTTCAATGATTACAGTACTTAATGAGTGTCAATTTTCAGTAGGCTCAGGACAATATGGTGCTAGTCAGGTTAAGAGCGTCCGGGTAAAGTGGATGTAAATAGATGAGAGCCGTAATGTCTTCTTTTTCAAGTCGCACTAGTTTGCAGAAATTTGCTTGCTTAAAACGACTTTCTAACGGGTGTGATTCTTGTACAACTCAGTGATAATTTCAGGGCAATCCATGGAGTCAGGAGGGTGCGCATTTTCTGAGAAGTGGTCCAGAATATCCGAGGAAACGGAGAGCGGAGCTGGAAAGATTTGACTACAATGACAATTACAGGCATAAGCGTGCGGTGCGTTGTTGTATGGTGTTACTTTTTAACGGTTAAAGGTTTGATGTCCAATTAGGTAATGATTTACGGAGAGTTGCTACTGCCCTGTATTAACTTAGGCAAATAATCTTTAGAGAAAGGAACGAACAACAGCGGATCCACAAAATGTTAATGCAGAGGTAAGAGGGCTTGTATATATTACTAGTTTATGTTAAAATTGTGCTAGTACTTATGTGATAGTATCCAAAGAATAAAATTGGCTTATAAAGCCGATAGTTGACCATGGCCTTGACTATTGTGATTGTCGGGAATCTTATCCGCTTGTAATTGAACTTACGTTTTCGTCATAGGAGCTGGAAACCGCTGGTCCATCGACTAGTAAATCATCAACACCAACAAATCAACTAGCGTCCCTCATTGAGGCAGAACAACAATCTGCGTCATCGCTGGTGGGAGAAATCTCACCCTGTGGCGATGATGCTTTGCTGAAGGGTTCTGCTGTCCAGGACGACTGGACAGATATGTTGGATATGGTGCTCACGGATCCTGATCTACCATCGCAGTATAAGACAATGATTCAGCGTTTGGTTGCCACTAATAGGGACTTGAAAAACGCCATCAGTCAGATGAAGTCAGAAGCGTAACATGTTCGTAGTGGGAGTTTTGTTCTTTAATGTTGTCGGTGAATATGTTCTTTGCTAATGTTTTGGTGTTACGTGTTCTTTATTCCATAGACTACTTAACGCTAAATGTTAAGAGTCTATTTTTCAATCATTTCATGAAATTTCGAATGTATTAGTTCCATCTGAAGTGTAGTTTGTGTTTTATAAGATGTTAATTGCTGAAATTACTAGTTAATCTCTTCATTGAGTTTTAATTTGGCTTTTTCTTTGTCGTTGTTGATGATTGAAACATTATTGTAGCAATCGTTGATCGTGTTAATCAACAGAACGGAACAATTTCTGATGGGATTTTCATCGAAAGGAGAATTCCTATGTTTTCTCGGTTTAACCTCCTTTTCGAATGTTTGGTTTTGCTGTGTTTATTTCAATTGGGAACACGATTTTAGATTGAAATTGCTCGATCTTGAAAATGTCATGTGGTAACCCACCCATAGGATTGGTCTATTTCCAACCTCACTTATGACCATTGGCTGTTTGTTTTCATCTTTTATGGCTTATGCGCATGAGAACTGTAGGGTTCTTTGGATTGACCAATTCTTCTTTTCTGGTGTCCTATATGTGGAAGATTCTCAAAGGTTAGTGCCTTGGCAGTGTGGTGGTTCGGTGGTTTGTAATCAGAAACTCATAGCAAAGAAGCCATAATCGTGACGAGGATTTCATTGGCTCTGACAAGGTGAGGTGAATTTTTACTAATTCAGTATCTAAGCCCTTGTCTCGTTTTTTCTTACTTTCGCATTAATTGGATAGCTTATGGAACACGTACCACTGTGACGGGCTTAGACCATGAAAGTTATTCTTTCCACTCAACGATAACCAAAAGAAGCTGACGTTCGGAAGGGGTTTTTCGCGATAAGAAGTCGTTACTAGCGAGGATGGTGCGGACCATGAAGACCAATTTCCATCGGAATTTCAGAAATATCTTAGTTATATTTCAACAATGAGCTTCAACAAGTAGGAGGACATCTTTTCACCATGATAAAGCAATAGCTTATTGAGGAGACTTCTATCAGTGCGATTAACTGTAGATGCATATTTGATGCTCCCAAATTATTGTCTGTGGGAACATTTAGGGATCATCAGTGCGTTTCCAAATAGTATCTCATTTCCAACTCTTATTTCCTGAATATTCCGTTGACGTTATAAACATTACCTCGAAGTAGATTTGTTATACATCACGAAATCCTTACAGTGTACACTTATACATTCACAGACGCGTACATATACGCATACACATACATATTACCCAATATTTATAATAATTGGGAATTATAGCCTCTGCAGTTAGCATACTTCAGGACTTAGGGCTACTGTGCAAGGGACAAGTACTTGTTCTATCTGTGGCACCTCTAGTAATCTGTCATAGATTTAGAATCCTGACTTCTAGCCGATGGGTAGCATGTGGTAGCCCGCACAGTGCGACTTTGGGATTTCTGGCTATGGCCAATTGAGGGCGTAGTTGTACATCCGCTCCATCTTGTGGAAGTAAATATAGTTTTCTTAGGTCTTGAATCCAATTACCAACATTTCTTGCACATTTTTGAAAAGGCTTTCCATGCTTCCACCAGAAACATCTGGTTAACTAATTGGAGGAGGTGAATATACGCTAAGGAGGAACAAAAATTCTACATATCTTATCAATAGGGATATACATGTGTCCTGTTCAATTTTTCTTGTTGTATTTTGCCTGAGCTATCTTCACATCTACTGCACGGGTTATAGCGCTTCTTGCACCCGATTCGTTTTGTCGTATTTGTCATCCGTGAAGGCCTTCGAACATTTCACGTGTTGATTCGACTGTTGCTCGAAGGTTCTCTTCTTTATAAGTCTCGTTGAATGCTGATATAGTCGGTGCTCTCTAGAGTACTGAGGTAACCGTGGTGGAGCGTTCCCACCTTCATCCCAGGGAGTGGACTGCAGTTAGACAAGTCTGGTACCAATTTCCAACTACGGAAAGAATGAGGGTTTGGTTAACTTGGTGTAAAATCGAACCAGCATAGTGCTCATAATGAACAGCATAACAGTATTGCGTTACCTACTAATATATATATATGTATATATATATATATATATATGTATACATGATAATGTTATGTATGTATACATAGAAGAATACCAAAGTCTCTCCTATTAATGTAGTAAATGTCAATTTAACTGCTCTACTAATCTGATTATTGATAAATTACTGCGAGTTGTCGAAAAAAACAGTCCACTGTTTCGTGTTTAGCATATGGAGTACAATATTTAAAAGGTAACTGGTTGTTGTTTCACTTTTAAACCACTTTGATGAATCATGGTCACTGTGTGGAATGGGTGAATATAAAAAATGTTGAAATCTAGTCTACATTTGTTGTGAAACCGGGTACTAAAAATGAATTGAGATGGTCCAAAGACACAGAGACATGCTTATGAGGACATAGAAGGCACGTAAAATACGGAAGGCACAGGAATTACTATCGAGTCCTTGTAAGCCATACCATCTGGCTACACCATAAAGACGTTTCTAATGAACTTTTGATATAAACACCATTGTGTAATGTGTCGTTGACTGTATTTTTTGCATGATCAGCCATAGAAGCTTTGCTGTCGCGTTGTAGTGAATGGAAAATTCAATGAGGCATCGACACTGCTCATTCCAGTAGGGCTATGAGCAGCGTCATTGGTCGTAATCTGTCGCCTGGTTGCAGTTCTTGGGATCTTCATCTCGTCCTTGCCTCTTTAAGTTTTTAAAGAATTGAGGTCAAGTTAGACGTGTTTTTTGTGGCAGTATCCAGATTTTGAGCTCTCCATCTGCATAAGCTGCCCTAACTGCCGTCGATTGTTACGCATACAAGTATTCTGGTCAGTGCTACGTTAGAGCTGTTCTCATTTATAAATTCTGCTAGAGCATCTCGTTATATCGTCATTGTTGCATTAGTATTTTATCTACATGACCTTTAATTACCTATATTTGAGGCTTAGAACTGCGGTACTTACAAATAGAGCGCAGACTACAATAGAACCACACTTCACACTAAATAATCCAGTACATATGTTACTACCAATTGTGCGTGGCGAGCGCCGGTTGTGACTACGCTTAATTTTTCAAGGAAGCTCGTCGTAAATCGAAACCAATGAATACCAGCCGCAAGGTCTGAACAGGAGGAAGCTGCCTTCAGACACCTACATGCCTCACTTTGATCTCGGGTAATTCGGATTCCATATTTTCGATAGTAATGTGTTTCTGCTTGATTTCCCGAAAATGGGCCACTTTTTTGCTTCCTGTTGAGAAACAATGTGAAGTGGAATGGTGGACGAGGACGAGAATGATGACAATGAGGTAGTCGGTGACTGTGCTCCGTGTGCTGAGAGGTCAGAGGTTGTGTTGCATCATGACTGTTCCATTTCCAGTGATATCCAATTCAGCATAAGTTGCTCCCTTTTAAACACACAGAAGTAATACATTTGAGGAATTTATTAAAGGATGCAGGATAAAGCTCTCGCCGTTGATCAATTCTTGAGCGATGCGCCATGCATTCGACTTCATTAACTATGCTTTGAAGGTGATTGAATGCTTATCTGGCGTTTAGAATTACTCGTGGTGGCCTGCGGATGTATCCCGCCACAGGTGCTGCTATCCTTCCAGACAAGTCTGGTACCAATTTGCCGACTCCGGAAGAATGGAGAGCTTGGTGGGCCATGGGCGTCCGGATCGATTCCAGGTGTTTGTTGCAGGGAGCTTTCCTGTTGCAGTTAATATTTGGGGGCTTCTTGTAGGACAGAGCAAAAGATATGGATATGAGAAGGATGAGTCATCCTAGCTGAAATCTGTCGAAGAGAAGAAAAGATTTATCGGGCTGTGCCTTCAAATATGAAGTATTGGATTGCTACAACTGAACGACTACTGGACGATGTTTATGTTTGGATCCGATCTTCCTCGGTTCGCAGTAGTGAAATGACAAGATACAGATTTGAAAGTCCCCAAAATCACCTTTTTTGGCCAACAATGCAACAAATGATGGACGACACGAGTTCGAAATCAGAGCACTTATGAAGTTTTGTTAATTTGCAAAACACTGTGAACACTGGAAACTAGAGCTTTCTCAATTGCAGTGGTAGTCGTAAGTGTATCTATGTGGTAAATAAAGAATAAAAAAGGATAAAGTTCGCGTTGATCCATCCCTAATGGATGTGCCATGCATTCGACTTCATTAAGCATTCTTTAACCGTTTTATTTACTGCCTATTCATTTTAACGGCAGGGTATTTTGCGAAATATAACTACTATAATGCTTAGATATTCGCAAAACTATATCCTCAGCTTGGATGGATTCAATGCCGATTTGGGCTCCCCAGATCAATACCGTTGACGGGTGGTTGCTGATGGCAAAAGGTTCGATAGAGCTAGCTGAGAGACAGGCAAAACGAAGGACCTGTATGGTGTGGAGGTGTACGCGTTGCTCCATGGAAAGGACAATAGCGCTTTCGTTCCCCACCGCAGACACCTGCGGTCCGGGCTTTTGCAAATATCTCAGCATTATAGTCATTAAGCGTTGTTGGAGGTGATTGAATATGTATCTGGACTTCACAATGACTCGCGGTGGTCTACTGATGTATCGAGCCAATGCTGCTATCCTCCCAGACCAGTCTGGTACCAATTTCTGAACCCGGAAGAATGGAGGGCTTAGTGGGCCTGAAACGCAGGAATCGATCCCACATGTGTGTCGCAGAGCGTCTCCGACCATTGCGCTGCGTTTGCCCCTTCTGTTTAGTAGGTTGCAATATAAATGTTTCTGTGTATAACGTTTGCAACATTACGGAATGATTATAAGAGTAAGAGTTGGGGACATGTAATTTTCCCAGAATTACATTGTGACACATTGGAAAGTGTGCACTTCGTAGATACCGTCGATTTAAATTTCTTTCGTAATTTAACATGTTATTCTGGCGAATCAAATCTCCTTAAGCTTCGAACTTCACTGTGCTGGTACAGCGGAGGTGTTAGTGCCCTCCAATGGATTTAAACCAATAAACATCCGGGAAAGTTTCTGTGAATTACTATCTCTAAGCGATATCAACTCACGGATCACGTCTGGCAGTACATCTGATGTTGGATGTGCCGTCTAGAGAATGCGGAAGAAAGTAGTTCGGAAAACTTCACAGTGCTAAGGAATATTTATTGGAACCTGTGCTTTCCTAACCCCATCCCATACGCAGTGGTGTAGATACATCCTGCCATTTACGTATTAAGAACGTACCTCCAACTGCCATGGATGTTCTGAGCAGGAGAGCTTGAAGGCGTATGGTAAATCCTTGCCGTTTTTCCATCGATTTGTTTTACTCGCATCGACTAAGTATTCTCCATTAGGTCGATGACACTTCCCAACTCCAATCCCCTATTTGACCATCGATTGAACCGTTTTTCATTCTGGAAAATAATGGAAGATACTTCAGGAGTTCTAGCAGTGGTGTACTTGTTTCTGTAAAGTATCTTCTTCACAGTTCTACGAATCCGCCTCGTGCTCACCGTCCGTAGACAACAACATCATCACTTGAGGATATCTTTTCCGTCTTTTTAGAACAAGAGACTGTGAAGACAATGAGTCTATAGCTTTGTTGACATGACTGTGGAAGAATTCAGTCGTTGTCGAGGAGCGCAGTGGTTTGAAGATGTGAGCATGCTTTCACGGCTCCTGAGTCCTGAAGACAAGTTCAATTAAATGCTATAAAGTGGAACGTTATAAAATGTGGACATTGAGAGTGAATTGGAGCCAATTTGCTGAGAGTTCAGACGTATTCAATGAAACCTCAGTTGTTTTATGCCACTCTATGTATCTCCGTTGAAGCTCGCTGATTGCTAAATAGACTGATTTTTTGAGCTTTTCCCCACTTTTCCAGGTTTCGTTCGTGCTATGATTATTGGGTACGGATGTGTCGGCGTCAAGAGCCTTTTACGGATGCTTGAAATGGATACACGCTGCTATTCTTTCGAACAAGTAAGTTTTGAAAAACTGCTACCGCAAATTGTTAATTTATCCAAAACTACATTGTTGAAACCATACCGCCTCGTATGGACACTATAGTGTCAATGACGATTTGGACCAAACGACCGTAGGACACTACAGTGTCTATATTGGAGTTTAGTGAGTTCCGAAGTTTTTCTTTACCACCCTGTGTATACACATTCGATAGCTATTCGAAAGCAGATTAAATTGGGGAGGTGGTGGGCGGGGGGGAGGGGGGGTGAGACCGTGACCCGTGATTATCATGATTGTTACTTCCTATTGTTGCATTGTAATTAATCACTATTATTAATAAAAATTAGCTGAGAGAGCCGAAACGAGGACCCATACGGTGTGGTGATGAACATGTTAGCCGCCGGAAAAGGTAATACCGTCTTCTATCCCCACCGTCGACACCCACAATCTAGAGTTTTGGAGTATCTCAGCGTCATTGTGGTTGTATTTTACATAGTACTGTGCAATAAAAAATTGTAGTAGGCACTAAATAAGGAGTTATTACTTACTTGAATACTTGAATGGCCCGTCATCACTGGTTGTGCGGACCCCAGCATAATCTCCATATTTTGGAGATTTGCTGGTATAACCACTGTGATTCCCTGGAATCCTGACGTCAGCCTGGCCAAAGTCTGCCCCAATAAAAAGTTAAAATTGTGATTATGACTATTATTAATGCATGATCATAATTTATTCCTAGAAAGATGCCACATCTATATAATTCTCAGGTTCGTAACGCCGCTGTAGGATTCGTTAAGGCGGATGTGCTTGGTGAGTTATCGAACGTGTTAAAGGATACTGAAGCAGAACGAGTGATCGTAGACATGATTGGGCAATGTCAAGAACATTTGAACGAGGATGGATTATGGCGACAGTTCCGGAATATTTTCCCCAGACATCATTCCAGTGCGCAAAGATTTAAGAGGTTTGTTGTTGTTTTTAAGCAACATTTCCTAATCTTGCTGTTCTTTTCCTGTTGTTCACCGAGAATTCGTTTAAAGGATGTGAACTGTTTTAAATTTGTAGATGTGTAGAAGTGCAGACTATATCTCTGCATTGAAAAGAATTCGTAACTTCTTCAAACCACAAATTGAGGGTTTCCTCTTTACATAGTTCCCTATGGGAGGACTGAACCATTTTTTTCTATTTTTTTTATGATCCTAGTAAACAAGGAACCAGTTTGATAGGAGTTTGATCACGTTTCTGTAAGCTCGCACATTCTACAACAAATTGCAACAGACCTTTCAGGATCAACTTCATTTGGTCTAAATATGTCTTAAAAATCTGGTTATCCACAGAGTGATCTAAGCGAATGAGCTGTGTGATGTACCCTGGTCAAATTCTCATCAGCAAAATTTCCAGTACACAGAGTTACATACTTCAGGAATGGAGTGGTGGTTGACCGACATTTACGCAAGTTCTTAGAAAAGGCTGCCGATCTCTTTCCAAGTGATTTTTTTGGTACAAAGAATAAACGTCAACTATTGGACGCACTCTGTAGTGCAGTGATTTCCTGGAAGCCATTGATGGCTCTAAATATATCCATGCCCTATTTCAGTGTGCTTGATTGTGAGTGACTTCTTTTCTCATAATGTTTCTTTCCAAAAAAATTTGTGGTATTACTTGGGTACTTGGTTAGTTGAATGGCCCGTCTTCACTGGTTGTGTGGGCCCCAGCATAATCTCCATTTTTTCGGAGTTCTGCTGGTTTAGCCATTGTGGATTCCTGGAGCTCGGAATCGAGCCTGGCCAAAGTCTGCCTCAGGTCATCACCATCACAGTCAGTTGCTGCCGCTGTGAATCAGAGGGAGATTTGCCACCATGTGACTTCGATACTAGGACGGTGGTGGATCCTGGTATTGGTTTATTCTTAGCTAGGCTTCCTGATGGAAACGCCGGACTCAGCTTGGAAGACCCCGCCGGAGGGATGAATCCCCCGGTGTACATCGCAGCCCGACACCGATTAACACCTCAGCCACGATGACGCGGTAAACCGTTAGGGGGAATTTGCGACATTACTGCGTTAGCATGGTCCGTACATCAGTATTTGTTCGAGGGATAGCTATTCACTTTTTTGTATTCCAGTAAGTTCATTTTTGGTTCCAATTAATGATTTTTAGGTGGTCCTTGTAGAGCTCTCCGATCTCGAACAGTCACGTTAACACAGTCGAAATCGATTGTACAACGGCAACTTCTGAAGAATATTGCCCATTTCTTTACGAATTTTTTGTTAAAAAATCTCATGTTAGCGTTAATTGCTTTCTACCGTTTTATTGTTTGAAATTGTACTGCGTAGATATTTTGTGGGTTTCTGTGAACAGAAAACAAGTTAGTTAGTGTTTATCAACTCAGTACAATTGACCCAGGGATTTCGTCTACTTCTATGCGACAGCAAATAACTTAGCCTACGTGATTTATGAGAAGAGAACTTTCAAGCTATGGAAGGGAATTGAAGAACGAAGGTTTATCAGAGCTTACGACGTAAAGATAGCCTCATCGAGTGGAAAATTAAATTGTGTTGGTATTACTACTTTACATGTATTGTTTACAAATGAGGAAAGGTTGGTTTTCATTATTTTCTCACAATGGATGCATATCATGTTTCCCTACGGGTAAATATCTATGCAAGTGTGAACACGATAGAGCCCAAAAATTAGCGTTAAGTTACGGGCTATAAAACTTTAGACGCTGCTCTCCCTCTCTCTCTCTCTCTCTCTCTCTGAGTTGAAATCCATGCTCAGAGTTTTGAGATTCCATTTCTAAGATGACTTTGATAGTTTGTAATGCCACAAATTCCTCTCAGCGGTTTACCACCTTATAGTGGCTGGGAGGCGTTCATGGGTGTTGGGCTGCGATGTACAGCAGAGGATTCATCCCTCGAGTAGGGTCCCCAAGCTGTGAAGGACTTGGGTGCTGCTATCAGGAACCTAGCTAAGAGTAAACCAATACAAGGATCCACCACCGTTCCGGTATCAAACTAATCGCGTGGTGGTAAATTATCCGATCCTGTGGTGGTAACGACATGGGGGAGACTTTGGCTAGGCTGACCTTGGGACTCCAAGGAGCCGTAATGGTTAAACCAGCAAAACTCCGAAAAAGTAGAGATTATTCTGGGGCTCGCACAAACAGTGAGGACGGGCTGTCCACCCGCAGTTACGAATTTGGTTCTCAAATCCTTGAAGAGATTCGAAAGATGCTTTTATGTTAATGTCTTAATTCGCGTTCTTTATGAACCGAGACACATTCTCGATTACTTCGATATCCGATTGTTGCAGCATTTCATCGCACGTTCATCGATCTGTAGAACAACAGTACGATGTTCTTCACAGGTAAGTCGAACTGACCCTCTTCTTATTTGCTCAGTCGTTTTTTCGCTTCTTCATCACTTTTAATTTTTAATTTCGTTGTCGGTGTCACATATAATTCTCACTATTTTGGCTTGTATTTCAGCTGGAGTTGAAAGATAGGAATGAAATGAATATGTTATCTGCTTGTCTTGATGGTCATATTGAGATCATGGGGTTCAAACCCCTTGGTGGTGCGTCAATGTTGAATTTTTCCTCGATGATCGCTTTATCCACTTCTTTAGTAATGTTTATTAATCGACGAGAAAGAATTACAAAAACCTCAGTTCTAGGATTACTGCTGGAAGTTAGGCGCCTCAAAAGATTTCTTAAATGCCATGAACTGGGGAAGCAACTTCAAGGTAAACCAGCTAGACTTGTTTTAATACTGACATTGTGGGGCATAGTGTGGTGCAAAATCCTAATTTTATAATTGTTTTAAGACCACAACTTTTAGGTAGGGTTGGAAGACTTTACTTTGCCAAAGCTGACATCAGTAATTGCTACGCAAGTGTTGATAGAGGAATACTAAGGAAAGCTTTGCAAATGGTGATAGGAGATCGGTATGTCTCAGGGATTTCGTACCTTTTCATATTGATAGCGAATGTATCTATGAGTGTATGCAATTGATCATAAATATGAAATATTATTTATTAGACATGCCCTGAAAGAGCCCAACTCGCAAAGAAGCAAAGTACCCTCTGGTCCACAACGGTCGAAAAGTGCCTTAAGACCTGGAAACGTGTTAACACAGCTATCTAATGATTCTAGAGAGAATCACGAAAGCCAGTAGTTGACAACGTTGTGATAAACAAAGAGAGAAGATATAAGAACACCAAGCTGCACCGGAATCTGCATGCAAACTGTGTTATTAAGGGTTTTAGGACTGTGAAACGAATGGGTGAAGTGGTGGGACCTGAATAACATATGGGAAAGGACAGAGTTGTTCGAATTTTGGTGCTAAACTATGAAATCTTGCTTAATGCCCAGTGCTTTATGCTGTTCTTGAAAAGGTTTTCTTTTTGCATTTTGTCGAGTACACGGCTTTTTAAAGAGACTGCGTTCTATTTTAGCACGGTATTTAAAACGAATGGGAATTAAACAGGTGGTTTTTTTTGATCCAGTGATCGATATTCTGTTTTAGTGGATTGAAAGCGAAACCGTTCTATTTCCCTTTACATTCTAAGTCATTGTCCATATTCATCGGGCATGACTGTTGTATTGAATGTGGCCCTTGACCGGTCATGACAAACTTCTGCTGAGCGTCGCAGTTTGGTTATTCACGGTTGCTTTTTCGTGACAGAAACGATAGAAAGAAGGTAAGATAGAAGAATGAAGAAGTAGTAAAGTAAAACTTAGTGCAGGGACACGTCTTGGTCAATATAACAGCCGTTAGTTTTTGACAAGCCCATATCCTTTGCTAGACGCCTAATCATTAAGCCATGACTTACGCGAATAATATGGTTTTTCCTGGAACAAAACGGGATGAAGGGCATGAGTTTGACACTGGATGAGACATTGCTATGCATAGTGCTCGACATATGTTTACGTCTTTTGTTTTTTGTTTTAGTTTATTTGGTCTATTTCATGTATCTTTGGCTCTGATATTTAGAATGATGTACGTTGTTTATGGATACGGGAAAATTTCAAAAATGGCCAACGTTCGTGTTCATCGAGCTGGTCCGACATATGATATTGCTGTGAAGTCTATGTTAAAGGCAATGAAACAAAAGAAGCTCAAGGACGTGACGGCAATTCCTGTTCGAACAGAAGTATGTGAGAAAACTTTCAGTTGAATAATTGTAATTTAGTATATTAGTCTACGAACATTCTCTGAAATTGTACATTGTACGTTTACCTCGCCATATACTTCTGTGACGGCTCGCCTTGAAGAACTGAGCACTTTTTTAACTTATTATTTACTGCCTACTCTTTTTAATACCAGGTTATATTGCGAAATATAACTTCAGCGATGCCGAGATATTTGCAAAACTCCGGACCTCAGGTGTCTACGGTGGGGGACGAGCGCGCTTTTGTTCTTTCCGGAGAGTAACGCGTTCACCACCACACCATGCGGGTCCTTCGTTTCGTCTGTCTCTCAAGTAGTCATATCGATCTTTGCCATCAACAATCACCTGTCAGCGGGATTGATCTGGGAAGTCCAAGCCGGCAGGGAACCCAGTTAAGCTGAGGCTGCAGTTATAATTACAATTTTAACTTATTATTTCCTGCCTACTCTTTTTAATGGGAGGGTATATTGCAAAATATAACTTCAATGATGCTGAGATATTTGTAAAACTCCGGACACAACCCAAATCTCGCTTACGGGTGATAGCTGATGGCAGAGATCGATAGAACTAGCTGAGAGACAGGCGAAACGAGGGGCCCGCATGGTGTGATGGTGAACGCGTTAGCCCTCGGAAAGGACAATAACGCGTTCGTTCCCCACTGTAGACACCTGCGGTCCGGAGTTTTGCAAATATCTCAGCATCACTGAACTGAGCACTCTTTGTCACAATTTCATGTAAACTGCTTCCTCGCTACAATCGTATGGATATACGGTCTGCGAGTTTCGTTTTCGTCGAGGCTCGTTTCGACACCATGTCAGCACAAGCTACCACAAACGCACCTGCTTGTTTTTCAAGTGTTCTTGAAGAGATTTGTAACTTTTTATGATTTGCTTAACCTCTTTTCTCGTACACCTGGTTGTCACCTCTTGTCATCACACGGCTGATCCTTTTACGAACCTAGTGTCTATCTGTCTATCTGTCGAAAGTCTTCCTATCGCTCAGGTCCATTCATCACTCTTGGACACGCAAGAAGTCTGCTCTGTAATCAAGATACTATCCTTATTGTTTTCTCCATCACACCTATAGTTTTGATGAACCTAACCTTCCAATCCATTCACCCTCTCATCCCTTTCCTCGCTCCATCGAGCATATTGACAGTGGTCTCTGCTTTACCTGTATTTCTTGAGAACATGGTAATGATGTCGACAAAACGAATTTTATTGGAATGATCCTCTCATGCGCATGACCTTATTGTCCCAATCGAGCAGCTTGATTATCCTCTGTTAATATGTCAGTGAAGGACGCGAAGCCTTCCATCCTTCCATAGGGTCTGCAAATTGGTACAAAATCTGTGTGAGAGGATAGCAGCACTGGCTCGATACATCGGTAGGCTTCTGCGAGTCATTGCAAAGGCCAGATATGAGTTCAATCACCTACAACGATGCTTAATGAAGTCGAATGCATGGGTCATCCCTCAGCGATTGATCAAAGCAGAGAGCTTTTTCTAATGTGTCAGGGAAGTTCTTCGTAAAAATGGCGTCACGTTGTTGGCCTACTTTTCTATGTGGATAATGCAGCCAGAGAGTTGTGTTAACATGATGCAGTAGCAATAATCTATCAGCTACATTGCTCCTATAAAATACAACCAAAATTTAGTCGAGGTGTGCCAACAAAATGGTATTCGTTTCGACGCTATCGATCTCCTTCGTAGTCGTCGAAGGCTGGAAGAAAGAGCTGATGATACTAGTGGAATACTGTTAAACACCAACTAATCGTTGAAGTTTCTGCAGTTCTGAAACAATCCTAGTGGGAACGTAACATACCTCCCTCCTATCTTCTACAGCAGGTAGGTACCAATGCCAAGGAGTTGATAACGCTCTGGTAAGACTGCGCAGTATTTAAAAAAACAACCTTAATCACCATTTAAGATCTCCAACGAATGTACGAACTCAGTTATCTCCCTGGATGGAAGTCACAACATAACGAATCGAATAACAGAAATGTCGAGACTTGCTCGACACGAGATATAAAGACGAGCCTTTTGAATAGCTGATAAGTTCTAAGCGGTGTCCTTTACAAGCACAATAGATCAATACGCATAAAGAACTCGTAAGAATTGGTAAAAATATTACATAAAATAAAGGATAAAGCTCTCAGTTTTAATCTAATCCTGAGGGTGCACCATGCATTCGAGTTCATTAAGCATCGTTGGAGGTGATTGAATGCATATCTGACTATTACAATGACTCACAGTGGCCTACCGATGCGTTGAACCAGTGTTGCTATCCGCGCAGACAAGTGTGGTACCAACTCGCCGACCTCGTATGGACGGAGTACTTGGTGGGCCTGGACCACCTGGTTCGATCCCATATATATTGCAGGGCGCCTTCAACCACTATGCTCACGCGCTTTGTAAAGAAAGGGATGGGATCCGAAGCTCCGACGTGCGTCAACGATCAAAAATCAAAGATGCCGTTCTGCACGCCAAACAATTGAAGTTCGTGAAGAATTTTGACCATCGGGTCTGTAGTCCTGCAGTGCGCTTGACATCCCGAGGAATCTAGTCACTAACGGCTCTTGCTTAAAAGTAGCAGAACCCATTGGGCTACATTTGCACGCGACAAGGAGAAATGGGAGATTTACTGGCGCCCGCTCGAGTCACTCGACAATCAGCTGGATTACAGGTGATACAAGTGATAGGGAAGTATTTTCGAAAGGTTCCTCAGTCACCTTTCTTTGGCAGAATGAGAATGAGCGAGTGTTCCCATTGATGCTTCCTTCTTGTTGGTCTATTGCTATCTGCAACATGGGAAGTGTCTGCACTTTGTGATATCCATGCCGAATAAAGTAGGCCATAATGTCTTTTAGTGATTGAGCTATGCCTTTCTTCACGCTTCAGAAAACTAGGACTTTAGATGAGAACATCCAGGATAAATTTGTTCCGATGGCTGTCGTAGTGCTGAGGAAGTAGAAATGTTCAGTTGTTAACTCATTGTAGAAATGGTGCAAATGTGTGAAATATGAAAATTTATTTCTAGCTGTATTAAAAAATATTCCGTAAACGTTAGACCTTGAATGTCCTCTTTTCTTAGACGGCTCCATAGTTGTGAAAGAGATACTTTCCGAACCTTTGTTGGAATTTTTCGATAGACAGTAATTGACTTCATATGAATCTTCTTTGATTTGTCAGTCATGTAGAGAGCGTTTTATCAAAGATACTTTTGTCATTCGCCTTGGACAATAATTTGCTTTTTTCCATGTTGACGGTGATCGTAATCGTTATCGATGATCCGAAGGTATAAAGGATAAAAGGATAAAGCTCTCAACGTTGATCAATCTCTGAACAATGCGCCATGCATTCGACTTCATTAAGCATCGTTTGGAGGTGATTGAATGCATATCTGGCCTTTACAATGACTCGCGGTGTCCTACCGATGTATCGAGCCAGTGCTGCTATCCTCCCAGACAAATCTGGTACCAATTTACCGACTCCGGTGGGATGGAAGGCTTAGTGGGCCATGGACGGGTGGGTCGACTCTTATGGAGGACCCTAAAACGCTATAATATTAACATGCTGTGGAGAGTTCTCTCGAAGCATGAAAATGATCTCGCCATTAAGTCAGTGTGTGTCGTTTTTGCTTCATCTTTCCCGCAAGGTAATGAAATTTCCTCTGATGAAGCTTCATAGAGAGAGGATATTGGTCCAATATAATGATGTAAGTGATACGCACAAAGCATATTTTATGACGCATCGGGAAGCTGTTGTTTTGACACGTTGTCTATGAAATTCTTTACACGGAATATGATTGAACCTCACTGAATGTCTCTATACCTGGAAGCGCTCACGAAGTGGAGACAGAATAAAGCGTATACTCGAACACATTCACATTTTCGCTTATTTTTCGACTGCCAAAAGAGGAATTGGAGTGATAACGCATTTTTCGCTTTGTCGGGCTATGCATTGAAATCAATGCGTATTGTCCGTCGTGTGTTCTTCTCATTCCAAAAAGAGGTCTGCAAGCACGCTTCTCGTATGCAATAACTTTTGTGGTACTTTGTTCGTAAAAGGAGCAGTTAATCGGAGCAGGATTCATGCTACAGTATTTATGTCATAGAGACATCTTAGTGCTCTCCTGATATGTTGTGTTGTATTCTCCATGACTTGGCGCTTAAACTTATTGATTGAAAAAATTTTGCTTCTCTAGAATACTACTGACTCGATCAAGTAACGAAAAGTATAGCAAAAAATGTGTGTAGTAAAGCAAATCGCTGGAACGAAAACTCGTTTAAATCAATTGGCACATTTGTTCTATACCAGCTTGTGCATTGAAATGAAATCGTATTGGAGCAAAAGTTTTAGTCCGTTTATGAATGTCGAAATAATGTCGATGACTTTTGAAGGTGATTGAAGGGCCACAGCTTGTTGAAACGGTTATGAGCTTACTGGAAGGAATCCGGGTAGGAATTTATTGTTTATGACTTACTGAGTCATTTTTATGTTTATCTACTTCTGTGTGTAAAATTGTTTTATGTTTTTTCCCAGATCTGTGGTATGTTTACAGCTTTCACTGGACAGTTCGGGGACGTTGTATACCATGGGGAAAGGAGTTCCTCCAGGATTCATACTGTCTCCTCGTTTAGCACATGTTGGTCACAATGTTTTTGTTTTTTGATTCTCTTTTTAAAATGTCTTCTTTCCGTTGTATTGACCAGTCTTAAAGGCGAATTTATTTTGCTTAGTTCTATTATGAATTAAAATACTTCTACTGCTTTTTTATTCCAATATCCACGGATAATTGTGATTAACACGTTTGCAACGAGGCTGGTTTTTCGATAACTGCCAATAATAGAACTACGATGATGCTCAGATAATCACCCTCTTAACCGTTTTATTTACTGCTTACTCTTTTTATTGGGAGGGTATATTGCGAAGTATAACTCCAATGACTCTGAGATATTTGCAAAACTCCGGAGTGCAGGCGTCCGCGTTCGCGGCTGGTTTCGAA